CTAATAACTAACACGTGTAATCAAGGTTACACCAAACCCAACGTGTTTGAAGAAACTTTTCCATTTTTGGCGAACAATCGCGTAGTTTGGCGTTTTTTCCTTTAATAGGCGAAATGGATCGACGGGCTTTTTCGTAAGTACCATTATACCTAATATGCGTATTTTATTTTATCACTTAACCTGCACAGATGGAAATATTATTCGTTTAAAATTTCATTATCACTATATTGCGCCAGATATGAATGACATTGTTGAACTGAAATTTTGGAAATTGCATTTCATCTTTCAAACCTTGAATGATTAATTTTTAGTTTGCATTTTAATCGAGTTTTTTTTTTTTTTCAAATCTTATTAATTGAAGTCTGGGTATTTTAAAAGAAGCAACAGTAATGTATGAAATTTGGATTGCTGTATTGTCTGTTTTCTTTCCTTCTTAAACTGACAATTATATTTTGCACAGAACATTTTCGACAATATATATATTTTTTATTTATACATATTTTAAAAGTTTACTACATAAAAATTAGCTAGTTTCAGAGACGTTGTCTCATTCTCTTCCAGTTCCAGTTCTTTTAATACTTCATATTTGAGATGAAGTAAATGAGCATAATTGACTGATGGAGTAGCCGGCTACTTTGGCTTTGTTATGATCCCAATTGCTATTTTGTTAGTACCCCTTTATTTTTATGCGAAAGTTTAAAGTGAGCATGAATCGTGCATCTGAAATCAGAGTTAGGCAAGATACGGGAGAGTTTAAAACCAGTTAGTTTGGAAAACGTAGTACGCTTTACTCTTAATACAACTTTTCAAAATTTTATGATCCTTTCGACATATATTTAATTTCGATGAGAGCATTTCTGAAATTTCTCACTCACATAAATATAATGTCGTTACTTCATCAGTGTCAAGTCTGTCGAAAACAGGACGACAAATTTTATGTTTCAGAGAAAAAATTCTCCAAATCTTTATGGTCCAAGCTTGGTGGTCACTTGGCCGCTGGCTTTGGTCCACCAGTGGCCAAGCGGATAAGACCAGGTTTTAAACTGGATAAGGTCTGGATAAGACCAGGTTCGACATGGGTTCAAATCTTAACACCTTAACTTAATTTAACACACAATCTGCATCGCGAGTTTCACTAAATGTAGCATGAATATGAACAAATTTCAATTAGAACGTCTTCCACGAAATCATTCCTTCTCGTAAACAGATAAGCCTAGCCTAGAGTGCTTTGCCATGGTCTAATAATTCTTTATCTAATCTAGTACAATACCTGTCTTCCAAACTACAGAAGGATTTTCTGAAAGTTGAATTTTTGTTTCTAGTATGTGCAAACCTTGGGGCTCATTAACGTGCACAGATATTTAAAGATTGGGCTTTACAAAGAAATCGTAAGGCATGTAAAGTTTAATAGAAATCCACTGTCCGTCCACGACGAGTGGCATTCCGGGGTAAGTGTTGAAACAGCGTATGAAACTTTCATGTACAAAGGGATAACGTATTCTATACTTCTGGATAAGGAAAATTTTGTCATTTGAAATCACCACTGAACAAACAGTGCAACTCATAAAAATTGATAGCATCTGACATTTTTTAAAATTTAAATGTATTTTTTTTAATCGCCATGTTAAAGTTAAGGAAAGAATGCAAGATATTTTTTCAGTGACATAAATGCCTCATCTGTGACATCCGCATGTATTTTGCATCTGAATCTTATTTAATTGATCTGTTTGTGATGGTTCTTACACCCTGCGGTAATATGAAATTAATGACAGCATTTGCTTTGTAAAGTTAAACTCCATATGGATAATTCCAAACATTAGTCTAACTTTCTTAAACTACCAGACGAACTGTTGTCTTATCCGTACATCATATGTACAACAAACATGCAAAGCAAAGCAACAACACTAGAGTAAGTATCAAAACTGAAACATCTATTTCCATCCTTATAACGCGAAGTTCCAAAAGAATTAAAGCAAGTAAAACAAACAAATACAATGAATTAATTTCCGGTTCTTGAAGACTATAATCCCATGTTTCATGTACAGACGAGCCGTTTTTTTATGTCCTCTCCTAGGGATTTTTTTTCGTTTTGGACAGTTCCTCATAGTTCGTCAGCTGCCTAGTTGCTTAACATGTTCACACTGCCAACCACGAGTTATCTCGTTAGTCGATGTTTGTGTTTAGGTGTCAGCTACGAGTTAATTCGTAATACGTTTTTGTTATTCCTACGCCATATACGATCAAACTCGTAGTATGCTCATGTTCTTTGAAGGTATCTGGCTTTGGAGATTAGAAGAAAATACAACAATCTGGCGCAATTCAAGATATTTATTCTACAATATATAAGTAATTATAATGTAAATAAAATAGGAACTGTAAAATAATCAAGCAATTTATAATAATTTTTGTTATAATAATTGTTGTAAAAATAATCAGTCTATGTTATAAGCAACCGCCAACTACGAATATACTCGTTACGAGTGTACTCGTTGTTGGCACTGCCATAAAACATTTTATTGCGAAACCCGACTACCATATAACTCCTATAATTAATCAATCCAGGTTGAAAGCAACGCATTTGCCCAAATTGACAATAATTCGACTCATCCAAGACAGAGACATGGTATTTTATTTGATTACAATGTATTGCCTACCAGCGAATATGAAATCTATACAGATGGGTCCGGTTTCGAGGGAGGTGTGGGATGTGCGTTTGTCGTATATTTTTATGGTTTGGAGATCCATTATCAAAAACACATACTGGATAAACATAATTCAGTTTATGAATCAGAGCTATACGCCATTTATAAAGCCTTGGAATGTATTAAATCCAATTTCATCTATAAATGTACAGTTCATATATACTCGGATGCCTATTCAGCACTCGTCGTCCTCTCTCGGCCGAACCATAAAAATGATATCATGAATAAAATTAAAAATGATTATATGAATTTAAAATATAAAATGTCAATCAATATTCATTGGGTAAAGGCCCATATTGGTATCATTGGGAATGAGAGGGAGGATTCTCTGGCAAAGGAGGCTGCCCTGGGGGATGGGATCTCTGAAGGTGATCTACAACATTCTAAAAAAGTTACAATTAGCAAAATGAAAGATCACATGTATAAAACCTGGTCTGATCAATGGAATGTGTCTCCTAGAAGATCAGAGGCCTTGTCAAATATAATAATTAAGAAGACTATGCCTATATTTTGCGATAAAGACTATAATCAATTAGTAACACGGCATGGACGCTTTCCTATGTACTTACAGAGATTCCACCTCCAGGGGGTAAATTTATGCCTTAAATGTGATACTGCTGGTGACTGCATTCCTATAATTAATCAAGCAATTGAAAATTATCTAAATTCAATATCTTTCCCATAAATACATGCTTTGCATTTTTATTGTACAATTAATTAAAATTTGTTGGCGTGATGGAACCGTTTTTGAAAAAGGTGCTGACAGCGAACGTGTTAAAGCAGTAGTTTCAAACTGACGGCTCGCTGGCCACTTGCGGCTCTCAAGATATTTTATGCGGTCCAACTACACAGTTGTTGCAAAGATTTCAGTTATTTGAAGTCCAAGTTTACATTATTTTCTTTATCATTAAAAACAAACATATATAACGCTCCAAAAAATTCTATAAATAGAGCTAATTAATTTGCAGCGTGATGTAAACCTTGTTCAAAGATTTGAAGATACATATTTTTTTAACTTTTATTAGCATTTGTCAAACAATATACTCAAATACGAAATTTTGCCCTAAGAATAGTCACTTTGTTTGGGAATAATATGTGAACAGTTTTGTTTTTCGCGGTTGAAATTTAATAAACAAAGAATCTTTATAATTTATTTCTCCCGCCTTCTTAGCATGCCTTCGCGATATAATGGTCAGCACGCTCGGCGCCTATTCGAGAAATCCGAGGTTCGAGTCCCGGCGAGGGCATTGTTAATTTTTCATGTCTTCTTTAAAATAACACAATGTCTCTACATCCTAATGATTTAAATGCTACAACAGAGAGAACGATACCGCTGTAATACTTCTCTAATAACGATGAAAAAAATATGATTCATAGTCATACATTCTTCAGTCTGAGGCGAGATGAAAACCACATAAAAATTTTCGATAGAAAAACAAACTAATTCTCTCTCATTATGTCAGTCACAATGGCATGCAGTTATTTAATGATTTTCGTCTTTCTAGTCAAAAGCTCGTGAAAGCTCAAGTTCCATCCAATACTTCACCTATATTCAGTTTTAGTCGATTCAGTGTGACAAAAAATTGATCATAAGATCGGAAATCAATAATGCAAACAAACAAACAAAACACACAAACAGACATTCTTCTTTATATATACAGATTTTCCAAGACTCACAAATTTTTGATTAACAAACTCTACGATTTAAAAGTGATTAGTAGCAGTTTTTAAAGTCAGCAGTAGCAGTGAGCAGTATTCGAAATAAAGCATTTTTGTCTCTAACGCGCGAGACTGTTGCCATTCGGAAAAATCAGGAACAAAACTAGTGTTTTTAGAGTTTTTGCTTAATATTTTGGTTGATTAAACTCATACGAAAATGGAAACAGTCGAAATGGCTTCCCACGAATTTTTGGAATCGGGAATAATGTATTTAATATTTGGCAATGCTATTTTTATTTCATTGTAAAACTTAGACATTTTTTCTTAACAAACTCCACGATTTGAAAGCGATCAGTGGCAACATTTCTCGAAATAAAGCAGACTTTTAGCTGCACTGTGCGAGACTGTCGCCACTCGGGAAAATGAGGGCGAGAATTAGCGTTTTCAGAGTTTTTAATTAATATTTCTGATTTTAGCTACACTTTATTTGGAAAAAAATTAACATCGATCTTTCCAAAGACACAGAAAAAAGTTGTAGAAAGTTTGCTGACGATAACTATAGTAGTGACTGAGTGTATCGCAAACACGCACACAAACAGACATTCTTCTTTATATATATATAGATTAAAAATCACGAAAAACAGTTTCAATATTTTATTTAACCAAAAAAAAATCTTCATAGACTTTCTATTATTTAAACATTTTTATGCAATACTCGAATTCAGGTACATGAATAGTAACGGTAAACTAATATTGCCAGATTATTAATAACATATTTTTGGGTACTGTTCTGTTATCGGAATCGGATTCAGATGTATCCAAAAGCTAACGGTCTGGCGAAAAATTCGAAGAATAGAAATAATTACCAAAATATTTGCGACACGGTTTAGCTGAAGAAAAATTCAAGGAAGGAAATAACATAACAGATATTCGTACAATAAAAATATTTTAATGTAAATTATGCAACTTACCAAAAATATTATAAAAAAGTCGATTATAGAATTTAGTGAATTAAGATTAATGCGAAGGCATTAAACTACGAATATGATTTAAAATGTCTGAAAGGATTTGCGTTTGAGTACGCTGCTGCCGCCCTTTAACTAAACTAAGAATCTAATTGGTTACGTTCAGTGCCGCGCTGAAGTCTGTTTCGCAGTGTCCTATAAACATTTCAAAAGTTTGAGTATAATAACTAGTATCGGGGTCGATAAAATTATACTTATTTTATTCCTCTTTCATGAAAGATGTTTCATCATTAGATAAGTTCCAAATTGTCAAGTCCACGGCGAATACAAGAATATTAAAGACAAAAATGACCCTTACATCTTTAGAATTTGTATTCTCGTTGCCAATTTTATAATGCATTCTTTTACTTTCTTAAAATGTAAACATTGTAACAATTTTTAAAATACACACTGGTGACATAAATCAATCTTTTGGCGAATTTAGCAGAGAATTTGGCAATGACTCCTGTCTCGATAACAGAACAGCACCTATATCCTGAAATAGGGATTTGTTTAGTTATGTCTCCAAACTCGGCATTTTTTTCTTGGATTCATAGCTGAATCTGGTGGGCAGTTGAAGTCTTTTGAAAACTCTGGAATGTTAGACATTGATCCTATCACTCTGAAACAGAAAAAAATAATATTTTTAACGCGCTGTTGCAGAATACGACAAACGTTTTAGTAATGTTACACAAATATATTTTCTTTTATATTTAGAATAAGATATTAGAAATTCTAAATAAGTGGTGAAATTTTAAACATACGCATCTTAGAAATTTAAAAATGTACAGGTAAAATAGCTTCCCAAGAAAATCAATAATATTGAACAGTTAAAATTTTAAACTTTTACTTGCCTAAATTGTGGTAGACTGTGCACAGCTTTTAATGCTTTTACCTCAGAATCTAGTGACATTTTTGTGCACATCACCTAGAAGAATTTAAAGCAATTACTGTGTCTTCTTAAAATATACAAGTTTCTTCTGATGATACAAATAGCAATAATATGAAAAGGTTAATGTAAGGAATGTTTTCTCAATTTGATATTTTTTTTTAAAGTTTGCAGAAGTTTTGTCGATTTGAAGAATGTTTGGCCTCAAAATACATTAAATTCAAAACTTGGCACGCTATGAGACAAATCTGAATATTTCAGAAAGAGTGCCCGTTTAATTAAAATTCAGTATTATTCCAATTTGATTCCGAGCGCATGAAATCAATATCTGAAATTTGCATGTTAATTCAGATCTTTTATATGCTACTATCTCTAAATAAACTATGGACGTTTTTAGAAACATTTTAACTCCATTTCGAAACAGGTTACTTTGGATTAACCTGAGGATTACAAGAAAGGACATACATGATGAACATAAAATCACGATTAATTCGAGAACAGTTAAAAATTATAGGAAAGAAAGATCATCTGTTATAATAGTAGGAAATATTATTTTTTTCAAGCAGTTGAATATGGGTGATTAATTTAATTTAATTGCAGAATATAATCAATCTCTCAAGCGCATGCTCTTACCCTCTCTCCTTATTTCACGCTGCAAATGCTGTTTGTTTCTGTTTAAATCACTATTGTATTTCGATTAGTATCCTTATGAAATAGAATATTAATTGATGTATAAGTGATTTAATTTTAAGACTGAACATATCGTTATTAGCAGAATTTATTAGAAATGTTCATATATTCCGGATTATTTATATTATATTGATTAGATATAAGTAAACTTCCAGTTACAATGACATCATCTGCTATCATTACTGTTAGCCGACGCAATATTCTGTCTTATTTTGTATTTTTCGATGAATTTTTTTTTTTTTTTTTTTTTTTATTCTGATGATTTATACAAAGAATTTGCCATCATTCTGCAATAAACAACCTCAGCTATTTAGACAAGCCGGAATAATTCGCAACCCGACTAATCCGCCTCGGATGATTGGCAGGTGGCTAGAGAATGACTATACTCACGGAAAACGTATGATTTATAGATTAAACGTGAAACCTGTCGGTGAATGTGTTTATATTTTACTCGTATTCTATAATCTACATATAAAAAGCTTTTAAGAAGTCCCTTTAAATAACATTGATTTATTTTTCTTCAGTTTACGAAGTACAAAAGAGAGAAAATATTTTATACAATGTGCTCTCCATGTAATGAACTTTAAAATTTCGCATTTTAATGAATTTCCGATGTGTATTTTCACAGCGAAGTCACCTTTTCGTCAGTGCGTTCGGACATCGGCAGGTCGCCCGAAGGCCCTGCGCCCATTTACTACCTGCTTCTCCCCCCCCGATCACGTTAGTGCATGGCTCGTTGGTTCCGAGAGTTGTTAAATGACATGCTAATCATTTTTTTTTGAAGTGACCAAAGAAGCTCTGATATTTCAATGCACTTTCCTTTATTTGGCACCAACATTTAGTTATTAATACTAGTATTTACAGCTGTGTTATAAGAGAGAACTGCACAAGTAGGTCTGCCCTCACAAACGTCCCCAGGAGAGAAGTAATCACTTTACTTAAGTAGGTATTGTTAACGCTGTAGCATTTTACTTGGCAGGAGGAAGGATATCTATTTCAGCAGAAATTCATATACCTGGACGTTTCAGATATTTGAAAGGAACAGATTTTGGCCTCTATCGATGCGAAATAGTTAAAACCTCTAATAGAGCAACGCGTAAATTGTGGCAAATGATTGTAAGAATTCTGTTACATGTTTTTTAATTGTAACTATAGACAACAGGAAATCATTGCAACTCTTAAAGCGTGCATTAGCTTTTCAGCTGTCAGTGTTCACGTTCAGCACCAACTTTGCTGATTCTGACTGTGACGAGGTAACTATCCTAAAAGGAAAGTAAATATCGAATAAGTAATATTTACGCAAGATGATTAATCGCCAAATGATGTTTCCCCCATACTCTGAGCTTTGGAAGCGAAGGAAATGCATCAGCTTGCAGTATGAACTGTCAAAGAAATCAGAAATATTGTACATTTTTATTATTGGGCTACATTCAGGCACGCGCCTACAGTAACCACTGACAATTCCAAAAGGCGCTATAGGTGAGGGGAAAGCGATGATTCTTGCAACAGAGCTGTTTCTGCTGATTGCAGAAATATCAGCTGGTTTTCACGTTAGTACTCAATAAAAATCGCTGCCACAGCCAGCATTTATAATGAGGTAATTTTTTTAATTACCTACTAGCAAATAAACTGCTACTAAAAAATTCCATAACAAAATCTTGGTACTGTTCTATTATCGGGACGGCAGTTGTAGCCACTTATTTAAATAAACTTACCAAGAGATGGGTTCATATTAAATCGACAGTGTTTACTTCTAAAGTCAATGTTAACGTTTTTAAGAAATAGTAAAAGAATGCTTTTTCAAAGTTCGGAACGACAATGCAAATTCTAAAGATATAACGCTCAACTTGTGTTTTCATTGTATTTACCATGAATTTGAAAATTTCGACTTTCCTAATTATGAACATCTTCCATACAATTTCTTCAGGAACGAAGAAAAAGTGTGCGCAAAGAATCATTACATGATTTTTTTTTTCTGATTTCTTCGGCAAATTGTTTAACTTGCATTAAAAATTTCTAATTTTACGAATATTTGTTATTCCTCTCGATTTTTCTTAAACTTGATCGTATCGTATTTTATTTATCGCAATTAAAATATTTTGGTCATTCTTTTTATTATTTATTTTATTTATTATTTAAAAATTTTCGCTGGATCATCAACTTTTGGCGATATCCGAATCCGCTCCCGATAACAAAACAGTAACAAAATCTTTTGAAAGGATAGCTGGGGTTTCATGCGTTACTCAGCTTAAAGCTTTATTACGTATTTACTCAGTGGAAAATACTTTTCAAAGAAGTCTAATTTTAGGAAATTCTGTGTTACGTTAGTCCATTTAAGTTTTATTCTGTTGTGTGCATATAATGCATATTAATGCATAACCTTTGCATATAATGAGTTTCATGACAGACCTAAAAAGGAACATAATGGACGCTGATTGCAAAATTAAATCCTATAAAGCTAATGACACACTGTAACATACTTTAAGTCACGAAATACACAAATATTTTTATTATTCTGTTTAATCTGTTTTCTGTTTAAACATTCGCAAGGATTTATGTTAATTAACCAGTTAACGTATTATTTTGTCACTGCTTAACTTCTCTTTTTACCGATTTCATCTAGAGGATAAAAATTACTTAATATATTTTAGCCGAGAATTCGAAGCTCGAGAGTGTCTTGACAACTATCGCTGATAATAAATTACAATGCCAAATATCGCTGATCATCAATTTACAGTGGCAACTATCCCTGAAAATCAATTTACAATGCAACTATCGCTGATTCTCAGTTTACAATGACAACTTTTGCTGATCATCAGTTTACAATGGCAACTATCACTGATCTTCAATTTACAATGGCAACTATCACTGATCTTCAATTTACAATGGCAACTATCGCCAAAGGGGTAAAAGTCTACTTTATTCCACCGACAGAACATCTGACCCACTTGGAGGTGATGCTAACCAGCCTTGCCAATGATTCTAATTGCGTTCACATCTCCAGATGTATATTTCCTGGAGCAGTCTTTGTAGAAAAGTATAACGAAAGTACAATGGAAGGGAGGCAGTCAGTCATTCATCTACAGGTATGATATTTTGAATGTTAGCTGCTATGTTTAACAAGGTAAGAAGCCCATGCATGTGCTGTTCTTTTGGTTTAAAAAGAAATCAGACTTACACTAGCTGCACTTATCCAGAATAACTGATTTTGTGTATATTTCAGTCCTGGCAGCATTGGTTCCCTTCCATTATCTTTAACCCAAGATTGATAAGCCTGTGCGAAGAAAGCAAAACAAAGTATTACGTAAATAATAAATATTTGCTTGAAATCAAAACTTCAAAGTTAGTTTAGATGTGATTGATCCAGAAAGAGTTTCTAAGTACGATTAAATGAAAACTGCAAGGAAATAAACTATATTTTTTAGTTAATTTATTGCAATGACATTGAAAAAATAAGCTGTACATTTGTTTCATTTAGATTTATATGTTATGTCATATTATAACATAACATATAATAATATAACTTCGTGCAGGACTTCCTAAGGGAAACTGGCTCGAATGCTAGCTACACAGGTGACAGAAGACGGGGACACCTGCTGTCTCACAAAGGTAAGCCAGGTATAGTTCGACCGTCTCAAATGCAACCCTGGTTGGCATTCTGCCAAAACACATAGACTCGTCCAAAAGGGGCGTTATTACACGCTGCGACGTGAAAGATCACGTTGAAATCTTCTCTTCTCTGGAAAGAGATATGCTGTAGGGAAAGAAAGTCCCCATCCTTCCACCCTATTTTGAGAATAATTCGGTCTGAATGGTGCATGCGTATTTGCGCTCATGGTCGTCGATGAGGCGGTCGAACTTTACATGTTCCACGCCCTCCACTATCTACTCCTATCTATACTACCGGCAGTTCCATTGAGTCCCAGGAGGCCTGCCTCAGGAATGCATATGTTTCTGTGCAAAGTCGCATGAACAAACAGGGCTCCGGATGATATTACATGAATGCGTTAGCTGCATGATTATGTAAGCATTAGCTGTTAGAATGCATTGGTAATGGTCTTTTGCGCTCGCTGCCATAATTCTTAAATGCATCAAATACTACTACTACTAATAATAATAATAATTTTAAATACATCAGATACTTTCAGTGCTATATTAAATATAATCCGTCCATTAAATACATTAATTCGTTGAATATATGATTAAGTTACATGGATACGTTAGTTATGTACTTGAGAGTTTGAATAAAATAAGACTCTTGAATACATTCAACCTGTTTACATTTATCATTTGGAAAATTGTGTTATTTGAATACTTACATGAGCTGATACAATAGATACGTGATTATGTTATATGAATACTGTTTATAAACTAGAATACTTGATTGCAATAAGAATATACTCGCGACTTCTGAGGGAAACCCCGAAAGCACCCATAAAGCCAGCCGTTTCGCCAGGATTAAAGCCTTGACCGAACTACCAGTGTTCAGCGACGGCCGCTTTTCGCTTCCATTAACAATCATGACATGTTAACAGTAATGTTTTGCAAGTCATACGGATAGAAATGCCCTAGACGGGTATCCCGACACCTGCGAAGATATTTCTCGCGCTCGAGGCAAAATCATCTAACCGTTTATTAGAATAGAGGTGTCTCCACCTGGTGTCAACTTTCAACTGACTTTGGCGTCGGGTGTTGTCTCCATTTCGCTGCCACGTTAGTCAAGGAAGCAAGTTTCTTACATAACCGTAACTCGTATTGCATATTATGCAGTCAGAAATTTTAAAATATACTGCTTTCCTTTCTAGGACTAAATCCGATGATAGTCATCAAATAACAAAAACCTTCACGCGGTATTCATTCTGCGTGTATTTTGCCACCTTATATAGGCTCTGTGAAGGAGTATCGACATTGAACTGTCAACAGATTTCGCTTACTTGACCTTTTTCAATCAATTTCTTAGTTTTTGTACGTAATTTTGGACACTTGTTGTTTAGGAACGGCTCGCCAACGCCCAAGTAGTAAAATCTGTAAATTGATGTGGATTCAAATCCCGCGAACGGCTTGGCTGCATCTGAATTTTTGTGGTTTTGTCCACGTGTAATGTGAGTACGAGCACGTTTTTTGAAATGTTTTTCAAAGCGGCATTTCTCGACCTAGACAGGTAACAGTCGTGTCTTTTTTACACCGTCACAGCAAACCAATCAGTCGCGTCTTCTTTACTTGAGGTATATACTTCATTTTCTTCGTCCTTCTCCCATCTCTACAAATGCTATTTCAATTTTATGTTTGTAAGCATTTGAAAGGAAGAACCATTATTCAGATTTTGCTTGCTAGCCATTCTACAAATCGCTTAATAAGTAGGCAAAATAAAGAAAAAGGTTCCATACTTATTCTAACTCTAAGCTTCAAAAACAAGCAGCAACACAAAATAGTAAAGCTTTCAGATTTTGTATTACGCTCAAAGGGGCGTTTTTTAACGTTTTGTATGTTACCTATATTTATTAAATATAATGTTCTTCGCACTTAAACCACGAAATTCAATTCAACAGCAATATCGCAAAATAGTTTTAAAATGGGAGCATATCTTTAGAATTTCCGATACACGGTCTCGTGCACTGGAGATAAAAATGTTCTTTTTTTCGCACGGTGTTGCCATTGCTCGCTTTGAAATCGTTAAGTTTGTTAATAAAAAATTCGTTAAAATATGAAATCGATAATAAAACAAATCTCAAATTCTAAATTAAGGCTTCCAGATGCCCATATTCGGTGGAAGATTACGTTATTCAAAATTGGATGGCTCTAGGTACCGTTCTTTATCACAATGTGAGAAATATACATACATTTATGCAGATTTTTCATTATTTAATTTCTTTCAAATATAGCAGATTTGATTGATAGCGGCATAAAACTCTTTTTCTGTATCAGTTTCGTAATTCGTTTCCGCAGTTCTTTCAACATTTCCCATAGTCAGAATGTAGGGTTTTATTTTATTTTCGCAACTGTTAATTTTTAGTTTGAAAACAGCCTTGCCTTTACTCCTCATTTTGCTACCTACGCGTTTCTGCCAGAATGAGTTTTCTATTTCACGCCTTTTCCAATGTAGGGTAGAAATGACTAAGTAAGTTAAGGTGTGGGCTACTTCAGAGAAAGCGTGTTTTGTCTTTCTGCCACGTTGTTTGTTACAAGAAGCTTGCTATTTTACAGCCGTACATATTAAGTGTGTTTTAATCTACGTCGGTGATTTTAACTAAGAACCAACTACGTGTTAAATATCTCTGTGCAGTTTCGACCACTTCCCAGGAATTCTCCTGAGTCAACCCCCAGGGGGTCTGATTATCCAACTTTATTTATGTATATATCCAAATTTCATAGATTATAAAATAAAAAAAAAACGGAAAATCTGAAATGTTTCAGATTTTAAATTACGTCCAAAAGTGTTTTTTTTTTTTTTTTTTACATTTTTGTGTGTTACATTTATTTATTAAACATTCACTTTCTTAAACCATAAAATTCAGTTCAAAAGCAATGTCGCAAAATTATTTTAAAATGGGAGCATGTCTTTAGAATTTCCGAGCCACTCTCTCGTACGCTGGAGACAATTTTTTTTTTTTTTTTTCAGTGTTGCCCTGGCTTTGAAATCGTTGAGTTTGTTAATCAAAAATCCTTACCGTTGTTTTATCACAATTCCAGAAATATACATACATTTATGTAGATTTTTCATTATTTAATTTCTTTAAATATAATACAGGGCGATAATACTTTGTGGCAACAGTTTGAAAAGTGATTCATAAAATAAATAATCATACAATTCAAAATTCAATTCATTAAGTTAAATCATAAACTTCAACTCATCAGCAATATAAAAAAAAAATTTAAAAAGAGCATATCCTTAGAATTTACGATACAGAGTGTCGCGAGCCGGAGATAATTTTTTTTCGTACAGTGTTGCCATTGCGCGCTTTCAAATCGTTCTGTTGATAAAAAATTCGTTAAAGTTTTTACAAAATATGAAATAGATAATAAAACAAATTTTAAATTCCAAATTTGAGTTTCCAGATGCCAATATGGGAGAGAATTTCATGTCGCCAGGTAGTGCGAGAAACATTTATACATTCATGCAGATTCTTCATTATTTAATTTATTTAAATATGATGCAGGTCTCTAATATTTGGTGGCGACAATCGGAAAAGTGAAACACCGTTTGCTATAATGAACGAACGCAAAATTCCAAAACGAAATTAATAACTCTTCTGGGCAAACTGCCTCTTTGCGCTAAAACAGGATGACAACTAGCTAAAAATATCACAACAGAACCACAGATGTCGCTGAATTTTCTACCGAGCAGGTTTGTAAAACGTGTAATAAAACATTAAACATTGTAAATAATAAATGCATAGAAAAACACGAAGTCATAAAAGAAGTAAACAAAATGTGCAGCGAAAGAAAAACAAGCACAGACCTTTAGAAAAATTTAAAGAACGTTACTTACCAGATAAGCAAGTTCATAACCAAGGTTATCAGCTTTATTGTCGAAATGCGTTTTAGTAGCATTCACCTGAGAAAGATGCAATTGTTTAAATATATATTTTAAAAGCTGTTTCCTAAATACGCATAACAAAATGACAGTTGGTGTTGAGAACATAACCATTTTCCAAAATTCAGCATGTGAGCATTAACTCTCATCAAATGCTTAAATTTAAAAACGTAAGAAATCCTGGAGCCATAACATCTATCTGGCAGATGATGTTGCTGATTGATGATAATGCTCTTTGTTTATTAATAAGTAGAAGATGTCGCCCAACTGGTATAGCGGTTAGCGTCGCTAACTGCCGTGCCGAAGGCCCGAGTTGGAATCCCTATGAACGCATGAATGTATGTAAATGTAGAGTGTCCGTGCGGCATGGGGTCACTCTCAATATGTGGCAGGCGGAAAGTCGTCTCGAGAGGTTAATCGCACAATCACCTGTAAGGTGCTCAAGTCTGTTGCCAACGACAGGCATAAACTTTCGCTTCTTTCCACGAGGAATTTCGTGGCTTGGGCTGACTATAAGTCGGACAAGCATTAGCAACAACAACAACATAAGTAAAACAAGATTTTTTCTTCTCGAACTTTGTTTACATTTAGTGTTAAAGATCTATTAAAATTAGGCTTTAAAATGGAAGCCGTTCCTATACTTCTCAAATGACATAAAATATTGGTAAAAAATGCTGTTCAATGTTTTTTAAAGTATGCAGTAGCAGGTGAAGTTTCCCCAAATGCATTGTATCAGTTTATCGTAGACAGTTTGCGCTAAAAAGCTAATGGAAGCTTCTTTGTTAGGAAGTAGGAAGGATGTCATTTTAAATCCTTCAAACCTCTTCGTGCGTTAATGTACGGAGAGGGAGGAAACGGACGGGATGGATATTGGACAGGGAAGGGCATTTAGGTATTTTTAAGCATCCAGATTAGGGAATGCTTCGGTTTCCTAACAGTCTATCATGGTATTAACATTTATGCACTTCAACAGATTTTCATAAAACACTTAGATATTCAATTAATCATGCAACTGGTTTTACATATTTTTTCAGAATTATTTGCGTACATTGCTTATTTCTTATATAAAGTTATGCATAGCTTTTCTTGAAACAAACATTTCGGTCAACTACATAATTAATTTATCGCTATTTTCCTATGAGTTTCATTATTATTTACCAATTTCACTTAGAAACAAATGTATGTAAGTCTCTATACAGACAGCCTACAGCTACTCTACCAAAATTAATTTCTAACACTCATCTTAATATTAATATACCGAAAAATGCGTTTTATAATGTGGTATGACTATATTCCATATTGTTGTATTATTCTTATATTATAGAACACTGTATTTTGTTCAATATAAGAGCTGTGACTCTAAATTATCACACCAAGACGAAGACGGCATTCAGTTGTGGCTACGTGAATTATCTCGCTAATTTGCTTTCGAGAGCTTAACATTAAAACTAGAATCTCTGCATCTAACCAGAAAGCACTTCCCTCATAAATTTTCCTCATTCGGAAACAGAAAGCTAATAGTATTTTAATGACAATTTGCAGAACATATTCTTGCTTATATTCAATCGGTTTTATCCGTTATCACTCGTCTTGGTAAAATAGGTATCGATGGCCAATAGGCCAGCCAGCGGCCGAGCCGTAATGTCGCTAAACACTGGTAGTTCAGTCCAAGTTTCGAATTCCAAGAACGGGCTCGCTGCATGGCCATTTTTGTGATTTTTCCCATGTGTAACATTTACACGAGACAGTTTCCCTTAGAAAGTCTCCCCAAGAAGGTATTCAGTCCTCTAGATAGCCCTCGAGGCTTTTCCATAATACATAAACCAAACCAAATCAGTTTGTTTACCAAAATATTTGCTTTATATTTTCATAGGACTGCTAATTCATTAAAAATATCAACAGATATGCGGTAGAGGCATGTACACTCCTCAGATCTAAAATTGCAACACCAAGATAAAATGCGCGTAGCGTCATGCAAATTGTAGAAGCGAGAGTTGTGAGGTGGATATGCAAATTGTAAATGTTACGCACGCATTGGATCACGTGGTACGCATATGCGGGCTATAAAAGTCAGCCACTTTCTCTTATAAACATCATCTGAGGGTTTACGGAGCATGGAAGACTTTAGAAGAAGCATAGAAAATGCCTCTGAGACGTCGGGGCGAGTTCAATCGGCTCAATACCATCAGTTAACGACCGGGGACGTGACCGCATTATCGAACTCCATGACCTTGGTTTGTCGCTGCGCACATTAGCCACTTGTGTTGGGCACAATGTGAGTACCATCCAACGTTGTGTCACACAATGGATTCAGGAAAGTGTGCGTACACGTCAAAGAGAAAGTGGTACCCACAGGTGCACGTCAGAGCACATAGACTGGCGTATTCCGCGGTCAATTATTGGAGACCCTTTCTCCACGTCACGTGACATCCGAAGCCGGTTGCCTCCAGGAGCAGATGGATCTGTGTCCAACCAAACTTTTCGCAACAGATTGCATGAAGTACACCTACGTTCACGATTACCAGCTACGAAAGCACCATTGACTGCTGAACACAAGACTAGACGCTTGGTGTGGTGTCAGCGTCATAGTGCGTGGACCATCGAATGGTATCGGGTTTTGTTCCGGATGAATCTTGTTTCTGTCTGTGGAAGAATAACGGCCGTCGATCCGGCGACCCGGAGAACGCTACGAAACAGCCGATTTTGTCGAGTGTCATACCGGTTCTGCACCCGGCATTATGGTTCGCGGTGGCATAATGTTTGATCACAAGACGCCCCTGGCATACATTAACGGCAGTTTGACAGCGGACCGCTACGTCACGCAATTTGTGGAGCTTATTCTGCTCTGGTTGCATGGCGCACTTAACACGGTATTCCAACAAGACAATGCCAAGCCGCATGTCGTACGGCGTACTCTTAACAGCCTGACTAGATCTGACATCCTACACTGCCCGGCAGCTTCTCCAAATCTGAATCCCATTAACACCTGTGGAATGTCATTGGACGTGACATTTACCGAGGACCACGGCCGCAAACCCTGGATGATCTACGTACAGCAGTTGATGTGGTTTGGCAAAGGCAGCCATCAATGAACTCATTGATAACATGCTCGCCCGATTGTCGCCTGTATCACTGTCCGAGGTGGGAACATTAGATACTGAATAAATTGGTTTATAAGGATTTTCTTTGTCTGTTTTTTTAATTATTTGCGTATCCATCTCACAACTCTCGATCCTACAATTCGCATGATGCTACGAGCATTCTTTCTTAGTGTTGCAATTTCACTTTTGAGGAGTGTATTTTTCAGGATTCAAGGTTTACGCTGAAAATAAATATTTTTGCAACTTTTTATGATAATCACAAGTGACTTTCAATTTCTTTAATAAAATAAATTTCTTACTTGATGGTAAATGTGGTTTTACGTTTTACAGTGTTATCGTGAAAGTAAGCTTAGCCTTTTTTTAGATTTTATCTTAAGTACACTGCCATCCAAAATTTAAGGAACAACATGTTTTTTTGCGGCTAATTTAAGAATGAAGCAAAATAGAAACAAGGAATTTAAAGGACATGTTCGCTTTAATGAATGCGACATAGAGTATTTCTAAAGTTAAACACAAGTACGAATTACAACAAAACGTTGCACCATTGGCAGAGAAATCCACTCTTGGAGAAACAGTGCATTGCAGTTTTTTTTTTTGAGAAAAAATGAGATCATAACAATACAAAAATGGCTTCTAATAAGGAATGTGTTCATCCTTAGCTGCAATAAATTGGGACAGCGACGTTCCATGCTCTCAATTAAGTTGTTGGCCAGTGAAATGGGAAGCAATGATCAGACACGAAGTAATCCTTGTTCAACCTCAACTAACGACCTTGGAGGAAGGACTTAAAGTAGCAACCTCTCTCCCAAGGTAGTCCCAAAGATTTGCTCTATCAGATTGCGATTTGGTAATTGAGCTGGTTAATCCAGTGTCTTCATATCATGACTCTGGAAATATCCTTCAGCAATCCCAGCTCGCTGTGGTCGCGCACTGTCGTCCATCAAAAGAAATCCAGGACAATAGCAGCGGCATATGGGTGGATATATTTATCAAGGAAATCGTCTCTACATCTTACACTGGTCAGAGTTCTTCCACAAAACATATGCATATCAGGTCACCAGCGAAAGAGATCCCAGCTCAAACCTTTATTCCACCACCTCTGTAGCTGTGTCTTTCCACAATGTGGGATGGATTGTGTCTGGCGCGTTGTTCCCTCGAGATCAGCTGACAACCTGAACTCATCTGTGAAAGAACAGTAGCCCCTTGTTGAATGGTTCGGGAGATGTGTTCTTTTCAGCAAAATAAACCGGCACCTCTGTATCCTCGGGTAAAGAGGACTCAAACAACTGGCCATCTTGCGTATAGACCTGTATTGCGCAGACGTCTGCGCACTGTAGTAGCTGAGATTCTTATTCCTGTTGCCACTAAATGATCTGCAATAAGCTGAGCAACTGTAATGTTACTCCTCCGTCGGACCGAAATAGCTAAATAACAGTCTTCCGCAGGTGTTGTAACTCTTGGTCTGCCTGGAACATGTCTTCTAGGCACAGAATCTTCGGATTCAAACTGATTCCATAGTCTGTGGACTAAACTACGAGAGACATCGAGCCGTTTAGCAGCATCCCGCTTGTGACAACACAATTTTCTTCCATCCATCGCATCGCCCGCCACCTCAACGAAACACTCAAAGGACTTCTACCGGAAGCTGATAGTCTCTCCTAGCTACTGTCAACGAATTTGCTAATAACAATTGAAGATCAACACACGTAAAAAAAAAAAAAAAAAATAATAATAATAATTTTTGCATTTTTTTTCTCCAATTCATATATCAGCATTCAATTTCTATAAAATAGAAGTTATAGCTATTGTTTTTCCATATATCTTTTTAAACTTCATTATAATATATTATGCATATATTATATATTATTTTTAAACTTCATGCATATAAACTGTTAATATAAATGTTACTGACATTTTTGCAATGGTGAGCTTTGAAATACAGGCTATTCCTTAACTTTTGGAGGGCAGTGTAATTTCATGAACTCAACAGAAAGTATTTTTACAATCTTTTAACATCTTTCATACTACATTTCTACTTTCGAAAACCTCCGTGCTATCTATTATGCAACATACTCCATTCCTGAATTAAAGACTTATCGCACGGAATGGCAAGTTACGAATGTTTGTAGATGTATAGTGTCTGTGCGGCATAGGGACACTGTACGTATGCGGCGAGCCGAAAGCCCTCTTGAGAGGTTGATGGAAGGGAAAGTGAAATGGAAGACCAGTGGACTCGACCCCCGGGGTTTCTGTTCTCCAATATTGGGGACGGAACTCACCAATTCGTACTGTCACCTGTATGGTGCTCAAGGCTCTTGACAGGTGCAATCATCTTGTCGCGATGAATTTCGTGGGCTTGCTATGGTATGGAACAAGTGAGATTAGTAGCAAAACCAAGAATTATCGCATTTTGTTTTTGCAGCTCTTGAAACTGTAGCATGTAACAACTAGATAGTAAAAGTTCTATGGCTTCAATACCGGCTGGTAAATGCAGTCTATATTTCATGCTTCCTACTTTAGGAAGCATGAAAGGTACCTAAGCGTGCCTCAAGTGGTGCCCAAACTAAAACGTAGTGAAAGATAAATTTTTCCTATTTCGATACGCTAGATTGTGTCTCGCCCCTCTTTTTAACTGTTTTTAAGTGGAGAAGTGAGAGTGAAAGGGGAAAAAACTATGCACGTTATTTTAATGTAAATGGGTAACGTGTCAAGGTAAAAATTCTGCAATCCGTCGCTGGAATTTAGGCAGAGAAATAGGCTTTCGCGTTTAAGCTTTCGAAATACCTAATAGTTTTTATACTAACCCCTTATTAGGATTTCACGTATATCAGTATAAACGGACTGGTTGATATAAATATAGATTTTCAAACAGCCAATTTGACAAGCAGGAATACAAAAAGAGAATGAAAGACCACAGGCATATCTCTTATATCTCTTATCCATTGTTCGAGATATAGAAAATAGAGGAAAACAGGGAGACTTGATTTATCTTACCTTCATTCCATTACGAACAGTATACTTAGCGTATTGCTCCAAGAAACACCCGGTTTTAGTTTTGAAATGTTTGTTCGTTTCGTTGCTCCAGCGGTTTTCCACTTCTCTACCCTCATACTCTGATGAATACTGCACTATTCGACCTGAAATTTTATTATCGTTTGTAAAAACTCTTGATATTATAGTGGAACGATATTCATAAATAATGCCAGATATGGCATTTCTCACATAAAATATAATTTTCTATATATATATATATATATATATATATATATATATATAACTGTTAATCTTTTGGCTACTAACGGGATATATATGTTTCCTTAAAACTTTAAAAATTACTGCTGGGTTAAAAAGTACTTAGAATCTCCTGAATGTTGGGAATCATCTTCCAATAGTTGGAAAATCAAGACGCCGCTATGCTCGTTCTACGCAAATAAACACAGAGAAAGGAACAAATATGATTTTCCCAATGTGTAATGTTGTGTTATGCAAAGAATGCATCTGTATCATACGATGTAAAACTGTATTTCATATACGTCTCCCAGAATAAGACGTGTCGTTATAGTAAGTCGATCGCTACGTGTGGGGGATATATTTGTCCCAGTCTTTGGCATAAAACCCGTTTGTCAAAATATCCCAAATGCTAAATATACCTTATTTATGATATGCTTTGTGCACTTGGATAGAAAGCGAGGTAATATTTTTAACTCAATTTTTTTTTTTAAATTTAATAACTGATGAACGAAAGCGCAAATATAAATTTGGATTGTGAATTCAAAGCATGGAAAGATTATTGTCAGAAAACACTTATTAAAGTTTGGGAAAAACCGTACTTGAAGTTACTGGGAAAGCTATATAATTCTGAATAAATGTTACTAACAAAAAATGGCATTTAGAATACAATTTCTAAAGAATATGAAATATCTAACATCTCTGAACGAGTTTTTGAAAGGTACTGTCAAATTTATAAAAATATTACAGGATTCATCTCATATTCTGGTAGGGGTAATGAAAGGAAGCTTAGAAGGAGTTCAGAAATATAGTTTTCTAATTAAATATTACAAGTGCTTGGAAGAATAAGAACTGCTAATTAACTTTAAATTACTATGTAATCATTATGTTAATTTAAATTTCAATGTTTGATAAATAAGGATCGACTTCTAATTTCCGAAATTATCATCAGAGGTATGTAACTTTCGGAGGCACTTCCGCAGAGAACCCGGTAAATGTAAACATACATCGCCAACTTTGGCGATAACAGTTCAAACCTGGTAACCCAGCGGATTTATCCTATTCGCTTGTTCGAAGTTTGCAACCATTCCTCTTGCGTTCATTTTGTTGAATTATCACTGTCGTTGTTCGCATTTGCAGATTTATATTATTCTTCTCTTACTTATTATTATTTTTTCTGAATTTTTTAACAACGAATAGATAGAAATATTTTCGTAGATAGATGCCGGTTCTCGGTTCGGGATGAAAGGAAGAAAATACGGCGGGAGGGGTGAAGCTAATTTGTAACACGGCTGTTCACGTTGTGTTCTTAATTATTAACAGCTCTAAGAACCAGCAATTTAAATTACTAAGTAATGCTTTTATTTTTATTATTGGTTATTGTCATCTAAAATTATGAGAATAAATCAATTTTCTGGCGTAAAATTTTAACAAGATAATATATTGTTAATGCTTTTCTAACAATAACCTTTCAGAGGATGGCAAGTGTGACATAAATAGATGACTGAGTTGAAATAAAAAAGATTATTCATTATCTAACATGACAGAATAGTTTGATGCATCACCATGGTCATCAAAATTAGCAAACCACTGCTGGTGTAAGGAATATATTGTTTTCTGCGTTAACTGGAATTTAAGACAATTTTTTTTTTTTTTTTGTTTTTTTTGTTTTTGTTTATCACGTTTAACAGGTTAATTTCAGTACATTAATACTAATTTATATTTTTCAAATGAATTTTTATTTCCGTTATAAATGCTTATATATTGTCTTATACTTAATATATTCTTTTCTGTGCTAAATTGAATTTAATATAATTTTCGTATATCACGTTTAACAGGTTAGTTTTACACCTACATGCTTATTATCTGTGAATTTTTACTACCATATGCTTAATATATTGTTTTGTCTGCTAACTTGAATTTACATGCACTAAAAACCACGTTTACAAAATATCACGTTTGCGGCTCGGCTCATCGCCGATGAACCGTGAGCTTGGCGAGTAAAAATGCAACGGCGCCAACGGGTTCTCTGCGGATGAAAACCCTAACTTTCTCCTTAAGAAATTAAAGTTTCGAAAAGTAAAATGTCGAAGATATAAGTTTCTACTTTTTTACCAATAAATAAACAAATAAAATAAAAAACAAACTAATATTATTTTGAAAATATTGTAATCGAACAGAATAAATCATAACATGAAAAACAAAATGTTAATTGGAAGTTAACATCATTGTAGTCTGTATAATCTTTAGTCTTTGCTTGAATTGTTTACGAACTATGTCGCAAAATCAACCACCTTTTAGCCTTCCCCCTTCCCCAAATTCCAAGTTAATCTTGCACCAAGATGTGCGATGGAAGGTTTCGGTTTCATCAGAGATACAACGAGCGCATCAATGAAACCGCTCGTTCAATAGCAGAAGTTCGGTGCTGAACTTTTCGGAACATTTCGTTAACGCGCTTTTCGATATATCCTGTTAAACAGCTGCAAAAGTCCGATATAGAAACCGCTGCATTTCGAGGACAGGTCCTGAGTTGGTACAAAGAATATCGAAAAGGTTTTACAGTTTCGTGTGTTTAAAATCAACCTTTTGAAAGCCTTCCCTGTAAGGTACGATAACGTGAAATTGGAATCGGAACATTTCGTAAATATCAGGCGATTTGGTTTGGTTTATTTAATTATGGCAAAGCACACTAGGGCTATCTGCCTAAGAGGAGGGATGCCTTCGTGGAGGACTTTCTAAGGGAAACTGGCTCGTATACACGTTACACATGGGGAAAGCCACGAAAACGCCCATGCAGCCAGCCCTTTCGCGGGATTCGAACCTCGGACCGAACTTCCAGTGTTCAGCGACTTTACCGCTCGGCCGCTGGTGAGCCCTAAATATCAGACGAAAGCAGAGAAATCGACGAACTTTATACTGAGAAAAGCGCAGATGGTAAATTTGTTTTATGGGAAAAAACCTGAAGCAGAAGTTATTCAAGTAATATTATGAGATATTTTTGCAGAATTGATTCCAAAGGAGCTCCTAGGTTTTATGAAAAAAAGGCGTTACAAATTCCGCAGCATTTTTCACCCACTATTCGCAATCTCTAAAGTAAATCTCAAAAGAGGAAAACAGTGGAAGATAAAGAAACGTTTAAACTAGGTAAGAGAGCTGTGGTACTGAGAAGGCATTCACCGATATATGCAAAAATGCATTAATTTTTTTTTACACAAATTATATTTATTGAAAACATATAAATAAAAGTACAAAATATGTGTATTGAATTTAAATATTTAAAATTAAACACATTTATTTTACTTCCCCTAATAATTCTTTAAAATTTGTTGAATAATTGGTGACAACTCTTCTCAGTAATTCTTTGAGATGCTTGTTAGTTAATACTGATCGTTGTTTGGATTTCACGAATTTTAAAGTGGAATAAAATGATTCACATAAGTACGTTGTTCCGAAAATTAAAATAATTCCCCAAGCAGCCTTTTTATATTTAGGATACTTCGATTCTGGTACAAATTTCCAAAATTCAGTAATCGGCGTAGACTTATATTTTAATTGTAGAGCTTGATCTTCTTGCATCTCTGTTAATTCTAATTCTCCAGATGCTTTCTGGGTCATAATTATATTGGAAATGGAAAACTTATTTTGAATTATGTTAATTTCAAATGGATTCAGAAAAATATCAAGACACGATTTAACATATTTCAAGTCTTGAAATCTATTTTGGAATTACATCAATATTCCTTCTAGCTTTTTTGTATACTCGTTGAGTTTTTCTTGTTTAATATTGGAACACATTTTTTTTTTAAATTTGAGGAAAATGACAAAATGCTTTACTTTCATGTCCTTTTGAAAAAGTTGCAATTTAGTTTGAAAACTAAATATATACTGTGAGATGTCAGATATTATTTTATTTTTTTCCTGCAATTGTAAATTCAGTGTTTGCAAATGTTCCATAACATCAGTCAAAAACATTATTTTCTTGTAACGACTCGTCATCGTCTAATTCTGAATAGATACAAATAGAATACAAATAGAATACAAATCTACAAATCGATTTAATACGTTGCAGCTAGATAACCATCTAACAATGGAAAAGAAATTAATGTCATTTGAAAGTTCTTCGTCCTTTAATTCGTCAAGGAAATTTTTGAGTTGTCGATGACGTGCATTGGTGCGAATGTAATTTACAATGTGTAACACTGTTTTCATAACATCAGGATATTTTAAATATTTTGTAATGAGATGTTCTTGGTGAATTATGCAGTGAATCGGTATAAATTGTGGAATTTGAGTATCATCTCTTAAAAGCTCAATAACACCGATCTTTTTACCCAGCATTGCCGGAGCTCCTTCACTTGCAGTGCTTACAAGTTTATTATAGGGCACATCAAAAGTTTTCGTTATGGAATCTAATGCATTTTTAATATCGACACCGCGGATTGACTCTTGAAGTGCTACTGAATCTACAACGAACTACTAACAACGAAGTCAGGTGAAACAAAACGTATGAAAACTGTCAATTGCGGAAGATCTGTGATATCTGTCGCTTCATCAAGAACTAATCTGAATGCAACACAGTTCTTCAAATCATTTTTAAAATTATATTCAAGACGTGTATTAATTGCAGTTATGCGTCGTTCGGTTGTGTGTCTCGAGAAGGGAATTTGCGAAACAACTTTGTGAAATGCTGCATTTTTTGGATCTAAAACTTTAAGTACATCTTCCAAGTTTTTTTTTAATAAACTCTCCCTCTCCATACGGTCGTTTTGCAAGCAATATTCCAGGCAATAACAAAACTGGCTTCAGCCACATATGTGGCTATTAGCTTGATTGCTAAAAATCACCAAAATTGACTGTTGTGTATTTAAATTTGACTAAGTTAAAGAAGAAAGATTATTTGATCTTAATTTGGAATTTGGTGGATACTGATTAGAAATTGAGGATGATTGGTTTCATAATGTCAACGTAAATTGCTAGCTTTATAAATTTTGACCGTAGAATTATAAATAACACATAATGCTTTTCCGTTATTGTTAATAAAAAAAATTCTTCTCCCACTCATTATTAAAACTTCTATTTTGTTGCTCGTATTTTCTTTTTTTTTTTTTTTTTTATTTTCGTTCTCTGTCCTCCTATTTTTAAAAGAACTGCAATTAAATAAAGAAATTGAGAAAATACAAGTTTTGTGTTATTGAAACAATAGCAGCACGTGTTACATACTGCGAAACAAATTATAGTTAACTTACCAAAAATTTCAGATTACAAATTATATCCGTAGCAAGAGTGATACAAATTGTTTCCTCCAGAGCACAATGTCAACTGTCCGTTGCAATGAAAGTTTACAAATTCAAAATCGGTCTGGAGTCGGTCGATTAAGTAGATCGTAGATCGTCATTCGTCGAGAAACAATCGACCAGACAAGGCCTTGACTCCCATATGTTTCTCATAATTCACGAGGCATTCGAAAGGGAAGAAAATCCGACGAACAGAACTGTTACGCAACTGTTTATGTTCGTTCGCGAAGTTTTCAATGAGTCGTATCATTCTTAACTTGTACGGAAATGAAATTTCTTACAACGTTGCACTTAATCTTTCAGGTTTGTTGTCAGTAATTTAAAAGACATTTTGAAACACATACGGAACGATAGGCTCGCGAGCCGCAGGTTGGCCACCCCTGGCATATGTGTTGGATTACCCTTTTCTAAAGCCGTACTGGTATTCGCTGGTTGTGTTGCCTTTGTGCAATTTATGATTCAGGCGGTGGACTAGGATTTTTTCATTCAATTTTCTTCCCGATGATAGTCTGCATATTGGATTGTAGGAATCCGGAATATTAAACTCTGTATTCATGATATACTGTTAGTATATATGATTTCATCTTACATCTCCTCATCCAAGTTTAGCGTTATGAAAGTGTGTGCATTGTGCTCCAGCGTTTTTTTATGGTGCTGTAGTGCAAAGTCAGTGTATACTATCAGAGTATATGAATTCATCGTTCGCAGTGTGTTCTTACAGTATTGCATGTAATTTTTCCTAAAACACAGTTTGTAAATACTATTTTATCTTATTAGACCAGCACATTTTCATTATACGAAACATAAACATTTTGCTAAAACTTAGTAAGTTTTTGAAGTCCACTAGCTACGAATTTTGTAAAACAAATTCAATATTAAAATCACTGTTGCAAAATATCGAAAGATAACGAAGATCCGATTTGTGAAAAAATGCCACTACGCTATACAAATTGCTTTACCCATCAAGTAATGAATGTTTCTTTTATGCGGAAGTGTCCCCGCCTTTCGATTTGAGCGTAACTGTAGAATGTGTTAATATTAAAGAACCTTCGTATGTGTAAGTACTTCCAAATTGCTGTGAACATACCTTGGATGTAAATGAAACACATCCCTGTGGCTACCATAGCTCAGCAGGACTGCATCAACCGCAGACGGATAGGGGGTCTCCTTTCGTTCTCACCTCCATGCTTTCCCTAGTTACTCTTTAAACCGGGCACGCGATAAGGAATAACTACTTTTCTGGAGGCACGCTTTTGTTGTGTAAGTTGTCAGTAAACACGGCTGACTACAAGATAGAAGACACATGGCTTGAATTCACAAGAGAAGTAGTTAATTTTTTTTATGTCTTCTCTTTCGAAATTCTTTAGCGTCTCTAAAATGGCAGCCGAATTTAATTGTGGTAGATAGTAATTCATCACCACCTAAATTTGATAGACTGGCTATCGTCCGTAGCGCTATTCACTTTTTAAGTGTATGTGTGTATGGGGGGGCAATGTAAGGAATTACCTCTTTTTCTCTTTAATGTTCTAATGTTTTCCCTTCAATGTCCTAAGCAGGTTCAACTAATCTCTAACAGCATAAATCATTAAATGCTTCTAATTCTGGCCAGAGAGAAGATAAGTTTTCACGGACTTAGGTGATTAACAACCTCTTGAGTCATAAATTTTAGAAACCTGTATCGGAATGCATTTAGCTATTAAGAATTTTAAAGCAAATCTAGTAAATAATTACTTACCATCGAATGCATGCATAAGTTCATGTCCATAAATAAAACCTATAGTTCCAAAATTCAAGTATCTGAAATAAATGTATGAAAAAATGTTAATTTTTAATAAAGTATCAAAGGTTGTCTAAAAGAATTTAATTTTAAGGAAACTAAATACTTTTATTTTGAAGGAAAATTTAAATATACGTGCGAGACAGATTACTAACTTTGGTCGATCCTTGTTGAACATGTAGTCCTGCAATGCTGAAGCACTAATGTCTGTTGAAAGAAAGTTATTAGTAAGAAATGCACTCTAATAACGAAATTAAGGATTTATTTCAATTTCAATATTTTGAAATATGGATGATGTAAATTAAAAGGATGTTTCAAGACATCTTTTATTAAAATTGACATTGTATGTTATTCATAGTTGCAAATACATGTTTTAAGACAAAGCAGTTCATTTTCATGCATATTATGCAAAAACATTTGAATGCAAAATCTCTGTATATTTCGAAAACACATAACCTGCAGAAAAAAGATGACTTTTGGATTTCGGAAATGATAAATTAAAAATCCATTGGAAAAAATACTCCTTAAAACATTTTAAACAACTAATACAAAAAATACATCCAAGCATATAGATTTCAATAAGTCCCTTAAAGACAGAAAGCAATAAAGTATATTGGTATTACAATGTAATGTTCCATTATACTAATCTAACCAGTTATTTTACGTTTTGGATCTTTACTATTATTTCTCATTTCCGTCTTTCTCGCCAGAATACTTAAGTATGTACTTTCTCAACTGTATTTAAGTTGAGGAGGTTTTTATACTGTAAGATAGATCGTGTTGTACCTCTTTCAGGACACGTTACTAAGTTGCTGATAGCTTACATAAGTAATACATTGTTCATTGTACATACATTGTAGTCTTCGGTTTTGCGTTGTAATTGCCGGTATTTGAATATCTACGCAGGTTAGATTTGTGAGCCATCTTTGCGTTAAATTTGAACTTACTGTAACCGTAAATTACGTACCCACAAGTGATTGGTTGAATTATAAGCATGAGGCGTGCATTTGTGTTCCTGTTCTGATAGAATAAAACGATTTGTTTTAAACCTTCTTACAACTTTGTCGTTCTGTTCAGATATAGCGATGATTCCCTTAATGTCTGTTACGAGTTTGCTATAGTTTATTTTAACAAAGAGTTTAACTTTGTAACACCTCAGGTGAATGCTTTTATCCTGCGAGAAAGTCTGCGTCGGTATCGTAGCACTGAACGCGACAATATTTAGAGAGAGCAACACTCAAACTGAGAAATTTTATAAGATGTTTATAGAATTATAATTCTGTCGTTATGTACTCGATAGGTTTTTCTAAATTAACCTACTAATTCTGAAAATTTTCGGAAAATGATTGGAGGGTAGTTCAATTTGATATGTATATGTTACGGTGAAACACCGAAATCTGGAGAATGTCGACTTTCACCGGTAAATGTCAACATTCACATAGTCGCTTGGTGTATGTCCGAAATATTTTCCAAATACTCTTATTTCTGACTTACACCGGAGAATGTCGACATTCACCATGTACTAATGGTGAATGTTAAACATATAAGAATATTATATTTCCTTCTCCGTTATTCATTCGCGAAAAAGCGCACTTGAGACTCAGAATAAGAACTTAAGAATATAAGAACATAAAACACACAGTACATTCAAAATGAAAAAGGAAAATAATGGAAGTTCTAAACTTACCAAATTATGTGATTCAAATCTTATTTATTGCAACAACTTAAACTATTATGACACTTTGAATTGCACAAGAGGCCCTTGCTTTTACAACTGCATTTATTTGTGGAACACTTCCTTTTGGAATAGCAGCGTGTACATATACTCCTCTCTTTTCGACCTACACCAGAGCATATCTGTGATTGTCGACATACACCGGTGAGGGTTCGAATGTACAAGAATGTAAAGAAATATTCCATCTTTCACCGACGTATTTGGTGAATGTTGACATTCTCCGGTGAAAGTCGACATTCTCCAATTTCAGTCTTTCACAGTAACATATATATTATTAATTAATCTCCATAAGTAACATATATATTATAATTAATCTCCATCTTCGAAGTCATATACATCGAAGCTCAGACATTTACTCACTGAATTTTAGTTGAATAGAAAAGCATGACTGAATAACGCTTTTCCAGGAATCATTTCGAGATTATCTCTTTGGTATCTGCCATAAATTGGCTCTCGCGTAGTTTTGGATTGCTTGAATTGTCTAAGAGTGTTACCCTTTCCTCAGATCTGGAATATAAATGTTCCGCATTTTAATTATACTAAATAAAGCTCAAAGAAATTTAGTCTACTAATAGAGATTTAAATTTTGCTACTGAATGCGGGGCAGGAAAGGATATTCACTGCTTATTTGTTTTTCTGTTCTTAGGCAGCTGAATGGTTGATTCAGTGGCTTCAACACATAAAAAATAGTGTCTATTGCCTATGGGAAACGGTAACCTGTAAAATAATGCTGATGAGTTTATGAGGGTTAGAATCTGACGAATAAGATAGGTAATAGGTCTGTCGTTATATATTCGATTGGTTTTTCTAAGTTAACCTACTATCGAAATTTTTTGGAAAATACTTGGAGGGTAGTTCAATTTGATATGTGTATGTTATTAATTAATTTTCTTCGAAGTAACATTCATCGAAGCGCAGACATTTGTTCACTGAGTTTTAGTTGAATAGAAAAAACATTACTAAATAATGCTTTTCCAGGAACATTTCGTGATTGTCGCTTTGGCATCTGCCATAAGTTGGCTCTGGCATGGTTTTGGATTGCTCTAATTGTCCAAGAATCTTATCACTTTCCTCAAATATGGGATATAAATGTTACACAATTTAATTTAGTCTACTAATTTAGGTTTACAATTTGCAACTGAATTCGGCTCAGGAAACGATATTCACTGTTTATTTTTTTTTCTGTTCTTAGATGGATGAATAGTGGACTCAATCGCTACAATATATAAACAAGTTAGTGTTTATGTACGGGGATACGGGAATGCAAGAAAGCATTCCTGATTCGGATACGGGGATACGGGATGAAGCAAGCATCCCCGAGCAAGATTAGCAAGCATACGGGAAACGTAAAGCTCTAAAATAGTGCTGATGAATGATTGAGGGTTAGAATCAGAGAAATACTTTGCTCAAAATACGGTTTTACGCCCACTGTTCCAACAAAGATGTGGAAATTAAGTATTAACAAGATAGTTGCTTGAAGAGAATTGACTTGCAGTATTACAGTTTCGAAGGTTTACATGAAACATCTACTACTAGTGAAAATAATGGACAAGGATCCATGTTCGTAAGTGAAAATAAGGGAAAGAAATACTAAAATAGTCTAGCTAAACGATAGTAAAAGAAGAACATAGTTTTATCCATAGCTGAAAGGGTAAAAAATGTATTAAGAGGAAAATCGTTCAAAAGAAATAGGTAAAGGCGAATTAGACTTAGTATTAGAAGTCCAAACTGAAAGATTCTGATGCATGGAAAATGTCTTCAGGAAATCTAGTTCGCTAAATGATTTCTTTTAATAATTTAGACTGCAGATAAAAGAAAAACATGACTTCTTGATAAGAAATTGTATGGAATAAAAGATTTATTTTTTTTCAGCATTTTAAATATTTCTTTCTTTGATCATTGCATATTAACCCTTTGAAGGCCAACACAGCCGAGACAGCCTTTCATTTAAATGACCACAGCCGACCGAAACAGCCGAGTTTGCGATGTTGTTTTCTTCCCTCATGTTCAAAGAAAGAAATTAGTTTCCCCAAATGCATTATATCGATTTATTGCAGACAGCTTGTGCTAAAAGTGTTTATTCGTGGTTTCTTATCTTTAGATTGCGCGTGACGTTTGAGATCTTCACACCTCTTGGTGCGTTAGTGGACGGGGAGGGGAAGAAATTGCTATGAACCTCGAAAGGCAAGTTAGGCGTTTTGGTACTTTAAGCACATGGGTTAGCGAAGTCTTTGGTTTTCTATGGGTTAAACTATATCGACAGAGACCACTATAGCCCGAAGAAGGCATATCTTGTATAGGATATGATAAGCGTTTTAACACGTTCGGTGCCATGTACGAGATGCACGATAATACTGATAGTTAGCAAATTATGTTAACTTGCCAGCTAGGAGATAACTCACTATTGATCGCCTTACCTAAATCACCTAGTACGAGTATTGTCGTGCAAATGCATACAGAAAGCAAAAATATTATATCATTTGTCAATTACGAATATACTTGTGTAAATTTATTTGCTGCTAAAAGTAAACTGTCATACCTATATTTAAATAATAAAACATCAGAAAATAAAAAACATAGAAACACAGATAGGATCTTGGGCAAGAATAAACGGATGTACCCTTTCAGCTTCAACAGCAGACGTGTTAAGGTTGGAACTGTGGAATTTCGTCGGTAGGACAAGAAGCAATACGAAAGTTGAACTTACGTAGAAATGCACATTTTACACCTGATTCTGGTAAAGAATGGACTCTGAAAAGGACCGTGATAAGAGTAATAAGATGAAAATATTTTAACTGCTAAATGAAAAATATTTATTCATTAAAATCGTTCTTAAATCGTGGAATTCCCCAATCAAAAACTGACTTCAAACAGTAAGATGGGATTAAACAGGAAATGAAAAAGTAAAAAGAAGGCAACTTTTGTTTCGCAGGATGACAGTATTTTAGTTGCAAGAGGAAGTAACTTAAAAAATATTTATGATACACTATAATTCTGAAATTTGGTACACTGCATGACACTGACGTTAAGAAAAATAAAAGGGAATGAGATGCATTAAGTTCCAAACTGAATTGTTGAGCAGCATCAAGCAAATTCATGTTTGGGAGACCCTTAGTTAAATCTTCTCTGTACTGTTAAACAGAACAATTATATCATCAAGCAATGCAGCGAAAGCAAATAGGGAAATAACGTTCACTCTAGGGTTTGCTAAATACCCATGATGGCCATATTCAAATTTCACGCACTTGACATGACTTACCCTCGAACGTTTGATCACAGCATACATCAATTATTCCCTTAATAACTTCAATATTTGAGAAAATAAGACTTCATCTCTCAATAAAAGAGGTATTCAATTTATGAAAATTTACGATGCACAATATAGTACAGTGCCATCCAACCGGAATAGTAGTTAGTGACTCTCACTGCCGTACTCAATGACCAGAGTTCGAATCCCGGAGAAGGCATGGATCTTTTTAAATGTATAGCCGAAAGTGCTTTGTCTTAAAGATCTGTTGAAAGTCTGGTGGTAGGGTAAGAGAGGTGGAAGACCCTAGGAACCAGACGTTCTGTCACCTGTATGGCGTAAAAATCTTACCAACGGCAGGCGCAATCTTGCCTCCTTGGCACGATGAATTTCTTGGGCTTGTTCTGATGTCAAATAAGCTACATTAGTTGCAACAACAACAAAGTACAGTTGTTTAAAAAAATTGAAAAATGAGATGTAAGAGAGGATTCTTCCTTTCTCAGTTTTGAGAAGCATAATATAATCTTTATAGAACTTAAAAAATAACTTAAAAACGGAAGTTTAGAAACTCTCTTACTCAAAGTGTATTAAATTAATGTTATTTTCATATACTACTTTAATTAGAGTATTTAAATTAAGCTAACTACACGTGGGCTGTCACTATAAGTTCCATCTCAGTTTAGGTCGAAGTCTCCTGCGAAGATATAATTCGAGGGTCTGATGCCACTGTAACCCCCTCCTCAACTCCTTGAGGAGACTCTCGTGTCGAGAGACTAAAATGCTACGAGGTTCAAAGACACTTGAATTAAAAATCTTCCCCCGTTTGCTCGAAAATGAAACTCAAATTTTACGGCATACAAATCGGTCTAACTGCGATGAGCACAATACTCACCAAGGGTAGAAAATATGAAATACATGTAAGATTGTGTAAATTTTGCTGAATACATATTTTTCATAACTGAGAAAAATTAAATGATTTTCTACTTATAAGGATTTGTTTTCAGGTAAAGTCAATGTAATTCTAAATATCTAATTTTTTTTAGTTTGAAAAAAGAATGTTCTATCTCCATTTGAAATTTAGAAAATGTATTCTTTCTTCATGATAATAAAACTTTTTTCCCTTTCTCCGTCTTTTTGCTTTATTGTACGAAGAAATTGAAGTACTGTAATCACAATACTTTCGTGTACCACATTTCAAAGATAATATCCATTTTGACCGCTCTTCAACTTATTTAGACGATGTTTTTGTATGACATCTGTACATACTAACGCAATAAAGGACTGTTTTTCCAAAACGGCTTGTAGAATGCATTTAAAATGGATTCAGAAAGGTGTTTCCATGACGTCTGTACATACGCTCGTATGTACATATGTATCGTTACGAAATGTACAGGCGCGGTGGGATAGCTTTCCCGCAAAGCAGGTTTAGAATTGCCATAAAATAACAGGGTTGCCACATTTGGCGAGAAATCGCCCATTTGGCGATATCTGGAGACAAAATCGGCGATATACCATGGACGATTTGAGAACCTTCTGGAACGAATTCTTACCAGTTTAGCCCAGAATGTTTTCGAACACAAGCCGAAAGCTATATAAACCCTGCTGGTCCGTAGTTAGTGTGTGTGTGCCTCGTCGAGAGGGCGAGGCAGAGTGCTTCGTCTGGAGTGCGAGATAGTTAGTATCAAGTTGGTGTCTCGTCTAGCGAGTCAGTCCGTGCGGAGTCGATCGAGCTGACAGTCGGGCACCGGGTGCCGAGTGGGTCGTCGAGTGCACCGAAGGAGTCTGTTAGTGTATCGCGGTTAGTGCATCGTCGAGAGAGCGTGTTGAGCTACGGGAACGACTGAACCGAAGAGTCGGGAGCTGTGCTCTGTGTGTCGTCGAGTGCATCACGAGTTGTAGCGTGGAGAGTCTCGAGAGTGCGTGGAGTTCCGAAGAGAACGATCAAGCAGAGTCGGGAGCTGTACTCTGGTGCTTTGCAGTGAAGCTGTCTTCATCGTTATTGCCTGATAGTGTGAAGGCTGCGTCGCTGAGGTTCAGCTTGTTTATAGGAGATCTTCGACGACTGCAAAAAGTGACTTTGGATCTGTCCTGATTAATACTGGCTAAATAAAGTGTTTCGATACTGCGTCATGAAGTGTCGTTGTTATTCACTCCAAACCCACACGAATCCCGTACGAACTGGTGTCAGAAGAAAAACGCATTTTCCAAAACGGCTTGTAGAATGCATTTCAAATGGATTCAGAAGGGTGTTTCCATGACGTCTGTACATATGTATGTTTCTTGCATAACTCAAAAACGATGAGCCGTAGAACGTTGAAAATTTTGTACCTGGTACAAAACAAACTTATTGTATATATACACAGTAAGTTAACTGTATATGTATATATACAAGTATATTACAGAAGCGTTTTGCTGCAAAAATATCCAATTATCATTTCCATGCATCTGCCTCCTCTTGACGAAGTTTGAATCAGATTTCTGTTGTACTCCTTATCTTCTTTTTATGCATTTCTGTTGTTTTTGAGATTTCTCCTTTTAAAAACACAATTGATTTTTTTAACATTTTTTATTGGAAATTTCGGGATTGCACTGATTTTTAAGTTCATTAATTTGTGGAATTGGTTCGAAGTTTATTCCTGTTTCAGTCTCTATCTGTATAATTCCCCCCCCCCCCCTCTTATCGAGCTGGGTGATTTCTGCGTTTTTATTTCTGCGTTTTGTGAATGGTGGATTTTTTGCTATAGAAATGATTGTATTGTGTTGTTGTTATGCTCTGGATGAGGTTTTTGATAATATGATGATTTTTAATAATGAGGATTTTAATATAATAATGTTAATCTGCACGCAATAGTTGCATAACTATCAACAATAAAGTTTTAAGTAACACTAGCTAAAAGTTTTAAGTAGCGCTAGGCCGAACGATGCTGCCATTTTTTTTTTTTTTTACATTAAAAACTATTAGAAGAATATAAAATTAAGTGAGTTCATGCACCAATATCAAGTTCTATTTGCTAACTGAAACCAATAGTTAACTTTCGTGCACCGAAAAATTTGTTTTCTTGTTCATTGACCGAATTGCTTTGTTTTTGCACACAAACTCTAATCTTAATTGTAAAAAATTGGTTTTTCAACTGTATTTAGTGTCTTAGGCTGTAGAGTCATTAGGTTATTTTGAAAGAGGAGACGTGAAAATGATCTATGTCCTTGCCAGGACTTGAACCCTGGAATTCTCGAATACGCGTGGAGTGTGCTTCTAATTACACCACGAATGCATGCGCAAAGAAGAGAGAATATGTTCTATATACTCCCCGTTTTAAAAGGACAATAAGGAATTAGGGGACCAAATCACTAAATCCTGGTGATGACGAATTATCATCCATCACCTTTTAGTTCGGGAGTCACTTGTAGAGTCATTAGGTTATTTTGAACCAGGAGACGTGAAAAGTGTGCAACGCGCTCTCTGGGACACAAATACTGGACTTCTGGAATACGTGTCGAGTATGCTTCCAATTACACCATGAAGGCATGCGGAAAGGGGTGGAGAAAATACCTTATAAGGTTTTCTGTATTTTACAATTTTTAATAAAAATGCCTTGAGGTTTATCGATTTTTATTTTGTCGCGAAGTGAGAACTGAATTGGTTGAATAAGAAACATATCTCTAACGACAGTCGAGGAAATAAAATTAATAGAAGTGCAGCAAAAATGCTTTTAATTTAATAGGCAGTATAAAGAAGTGATGTGATGTCTATATCACTTAATTATACTATTAATTTTATTGGAGATAAGTGTTTATGTGTTTTGCGGAATCCCTAAATTAATTTATCCTCTTGGTACCAAAACTAAAGTATACCAGTCAGTTATTAATAAAACCATAACAGTAAAGAACAAAGGAAAAGAAAAAGGAATTCACCAACTATGTTCATCACCAGGTCAATACTGGCACTTGAGGTGATTGCATGGTAGTACGGTTTCCATCTGCAAAAATATATTTTAAAGTAACATAAGATTGCAATTTTTAAATAAACGGATGTCGAATGATAAAGTTTACTCTTAATTTATTGATCGAAAGTACAAAAATCTGTTTTAATTCGAAAAATGCAAGAAAAATCATGGTTGGACGAAACTGACTCAGTAAGTAATTTATGTTCAGAAGCTAGACGATAAACAATAGTAACTTGTGTTAAATTAGTGAAACATTTAATGCACTTACCGTACAGGTCTTCCTTCTTATCTTACGCTATTCGCTTTTAATTTTGAATACATTTATAGTAATATATATATATATATATACAGTTTTATTCAAAAAGAAAGAGCAGATTGGTCTCCAGATATCACTCCTTGTGATTTGTATCTCTGGGGTTACGTAAAAGAGCGTTTTATTATACCTCCTATGCCTGACACACTTGAAGACCTACGACATCGAATTATTGAAGCAGTGAATTCGATAACCAAAGGCCAGCGGATTCGTGTGTGGCAAGAAATGAGCCATCGTTTTGACATTTGTCGTGAAACACACGGTGCTCATATTGAATGCATACAATTGTAAACTTTTCTCTACCCATTAACGTTAGAATCATGTTTCTATCTTTTGTAGTTTGGAAGAAATAAATGTTTGAAATCTGCTCTTTCTTTTTGAATAACCCTGTATACACACTCACTTCCAAAAGTTAAGCACGAAGATGTAAAATGTAAAACTAAATCAATAATTATATACAGAAATGAAAACAATATTAAATGTTTGTAAGTTATCAAATAATGACATACTGGAGACTTAAACAGAATTATGTATAAAGTGAAAATAAACAGCATAAAGGGGAAAAAAAGGACATTAATAGGGTATGTGATCCCCTCCTCATCTGTATACACCTTGTGACCATGCTTTCAATTAGGTGGTCAACCACCGCAGAATTAAGCAATAGCCATTCTTTTTGCAGAGCAGTTTCCAGCTCAGTAAGAGTGGCTGGAGGTGGAAACGTGAAGATACAGTACGGCCGAGAGCATCCCAAAGATTTTCAATGGGATTCAGGCCGGGCGAACATGCTGGCCACGCCATACGCGCAATCCCTTCACTCTCCAGGTAGTCATCGACGATGTCAGCTCTATGGGGGCGTGCGTTATCGTCCATTAAAACAAAAGTAGGGCCAACTGCTGCAGCGTACAATCTCACAATGGGTTCTAGGACTTCATCTCGATACCGGACAGCCGTCAAAGAACCCCGTTTAAAGATGTGCAGGTTCGGTGCGGTATCCTAATGAAATCCCTGCCCACACCATAATGCTTCCTCCTCGGAATGCGTGATGTTCGGTGATGTTTTGGGACTGATTGCGTGTTCGTTGTTCACGCCATATCCTTATACGCTTGTCATCTGGCTCCAGAGCAAATCTTGACTCATCAGTAAACATGACATTACCCCAGTCAGACACATTCAAATTGGCATGTTCCCAGCACCACTGTAATTGTGCCCCTCTTGATTGGACGAATAGAGGAACACAAACTCGAGTTACCCAGGCGTACAGTCCACTCATATGTAATCTTCGGCGTATAGTAGCTGCAGATATCGCCTTACCAATGGACGCTAGAACCATAGATGTCACACATGTGGAGGTCGCTCTGCGATTCCCCTTGGCTACAATAGCAATATATCGATCTTCCGAGGGGGTTGTAACCCTTTGGCGACCGGCTACGGGCCTTCGGACAACTGTCTGTGCCGTAATTGGAATTGTTTCCATAAACGTGAAATTACAGAATGATGAACGCTGGAAAAAAAGACCAACATCTGTGATCGATTGCCCTGCTTCAATGCGCTCCTCACCACGCCAGCGCTCAGGATCTTCCATTCGTCTTCTGGAAGTCATTGAAACACGTATGTCTTAAAAAAATGTGCAAAAGTTTTAAACACCTTCTATCAGCACTTACAATCAACTTCTCTAACCCTTCATAAAGCTGGCTTCTGTTACCTAACATATTTGCATACTTTCATCTACCTCTGCAGCGAATTGCATCCACTTCAATTCTGATTGGCTTCCGGAAATTAGCATTTTCTTCTCCGTGCTTAACTTTTGGAAGTGATTGCGCATGTATTAATATTATTAGTAAATATACATATGAAAAGATAAATGAAAAAATATCGTCAAAATCTAAATATTGTAAATTACTGCTGTAGAAAATTAATCATTATGGTATAAATGGAAATATTTTGAAGAAAATGAATCATTATGGAATAAATGGAAATATTTTGAAGAAAATGAATTATTATGGAATAAATGGAAATATTTTGAAGAAAATGAATCATTATGGAATAAATGGAAATATTTTGAAGAAAATGTATCTTTACGGAATAAATGGAAATATTTTGAAAATTAATCATTATGGAATAAATGGTAATACTCGTTTTCATAAAATTAATCCAAATTAAAATTTCAACTGATTCGCCATATGCATCACTCTTGAGTGTATGGTTCGCAAATCATTATTTTTCAGCCTGATTGGTTTTAACTAGCAATTAGTAATATATTCGTAAGCGTATGCTTCTCTACTAACTTTCATCCTATTCTAAATTTCCATGAAACGGGTGCAATGTCTTTGCTCGTTGAAATCTGATAACTTTCATAATGAAACATGCGCTAATTAATGATTTCTCATTTGCAATTAGTATTACGGCAAAATTCACCGTACGAAATTTCCAACTATTGAATAATATAACGAGATGACATATGCGATACAAATTCTTGCATCTCATATGCTGTAGTCTGTTGTTACTTTAAAATATGCACTTTAAACGATTGCGGAACCTTCTACCCCATTTGTGACCGTAACTCATGCCAGACAGAAATAGTAGAAGGAGGGGAAAAATTTAACGAGTGTGTTTCTTTCCATAATGCATGGTGGTCTGCTATTCTTAATTTACTAAAAAAATGAAAATACCTCTTATTATGTTTAATGTTGTTTTTGATTTGCTGAAAAACAGGACGGTCGAGCATTTTCTGGGTGGCACCTCAAGTGTTTGTCGACTTCAGAGAGGATGTCCACAAGACTCTGTTCCAAGCTTTAGATTATTATTATGAATGATCTCTTACAGAAACTTTCTGATCTCTTCAGTTGTGAAGTCATTGCCTTTGCAGATAATTTATTGATTTGTATTCAAGGAAAAGAAATGCAAAAAGCTTTTCATCTCGCCCAAGATGTTTGAGATTTCATTTATCACTGGTCAATAGATTTTAAGTTAAACTTTAACCATGCAAAATCCAGGACCATGTTTATTGATAGAAAAAATACTACTCATGAAGGATATCAATTGTTTTTAAATGACAATCCCCATGGGAGAGTGAATGAAATTAAATATTTAGGTGTTTTGTTGGACAGAAAATTAAACTGGGAAAAGCATATTTCCTACATTTCTAAGAAATGTGAGAGACTTCAGCGTGGGTTGAATCGAATTGCATGTAATAGTTTTGGTGTTAAATCGAATGCTATCACAATTATTTATAAACAAATCTTTGTACCCTTTATTTCATATGGATGTAGAGCTTGGAGATTGTCTCTAAAAAGAAAATTAATTCTAAACACCTGCTTCGAGTTCAAGGACGAATTTTACTGCGAGTTACATGGGGTTATCAACTTATTAGTTTTACAATGCTGTTTTCTCTCTTGGCCACCGCTAGATTTGTTTATTCTGACTTTTATAGATTACAAGAATAGTCTTGCAAACTGCTCCAGTTCTCATTTTGATCGTTTTTCCACATCCTGCTTAAAACAACCAGTACAGATTCTGGATAGTATGGACACTGATGTAAATTCATTCTCACTTGTATTGTATACGGATGGTAGCAGGATTGATGATAAAGTTTTTTTTGCTTATGTTATTTTTGAAGATGATATTGAAATTGAGTGCTACCAATTTCGCATTAGCAATGAATGTACTGTATATATTTCTGAGCTTCTGTGTATTAATTTTGAAATTAAGTGGATAATTAGCCAGGATGGACGTGGTTTCAGCTATTTAATCTGTACGGATTCTCTCTCTTCCCTGGAGTCCCTTAAAATACCTCTTTATGTAATGATATTATTGTTAATATACAGCAGTCTCTCGGAGATCTGGAGCAGAAGGATATTCAGTGTTTTCTACATTTGTCCGTGGTCATTCGGGTAATTATGAGAGTTGATTGGCTTGCTAAGAATGCAACTAAAATGATATTAATGATGATGTAAATATTCCAAAATCTTATTTCAAAAAAAACATTCAAAGCTAAAATGATTGCGCAGTGGAACTGTGATTATATTTCTTCTGATGAGGGATCTGTTACAAAAACATTCTTCCCAACTATTTTTGAAAGACTGAAAAGTGAGGACTTGCCGCTCAATTTTAAAATTACACAATTTTTGTCTGGACATGGTAAGTTTAATATTTATCTTGAACGGTTAAGCTGACGTCTTCCAATTTGTGTTATTGCAATCTTACCGTCCAGCAAAGTGTTTCCCACCTGCGTTTTGACCGCCCATTGCTCGATAAAGCAAGAAATCTATTGAAATGCAGATTAAAATTAATTGGCCACCAAAATGTTATGATTTTGTATCTTCAGCTTCGGTTTACAGAGCTTTCGACCATTTTGTTGATTTTTATTTTAAATATTGTAAATGATTTCTTTACACATTTTTATACTTTTGTATTTACTTTTTTTTTGTTTGTTTTTTCTTTGTGTATGATTTTATTGTATTATTGAAAATTGATGTTATTACTTACAATTTTGCCTTTTTTACTTACGATCTGCAAGTCTCGTGTGATACTTCGTGGTGCACGAGGATTTCTTTTCTTTAAAATAAACTAGCAGGTCGTTGCTTCTCTCTATTGTAAATGTTCTTTATTACATGAAAAGAAATTTAGATTACTCTATAGCAGGGGATTTTGTACTCAATTTTACATTAATCATATAGCGTAATACCCATCCTGCACATAACCCTTGATTCACAGTCAGTTGTATAGCCTGCACATAATGCTTAACATTCACTTGTCCTATCTGCACATAACGCACATATACATAAAAAGGAATTTAGATTACTCTTTAGCAAGCGATTTTGATCGAAATTTTAAATTCATCATATAGCGTAATACCCATTCTGCACATATCGCTTGGGTAACAGTCACTTGTAACTCTCATGCAGCACATAACGCTTGTGTAAATGCCATGCTTCTAGTGATAAGTGTTTCTGCACTTCAGGAGTTCGGCCTGATTTCTTTATACCATCTAGCAGTTTGCAATTATGTTAGCGTTTTTCCATGCTATCTTATCGAATGTAAAGTTCAAATGACAGAAACATTGACGATTTCTTAATATTTGCTAGCTGTTATAAGCTATCAGTTTTCATGTATAATTAAGCAAGGTGATATTTAGGTTACGTATGTCGTAAAATCACTTTTAAAAATATTACCCGATTTAATAGTACATAGCATTTATAAATTTTTGCATCGTTTTAAAAGCTGTTTAATTAACGTTTAAAATATAAAGGTTTTTCTTTTTAAATATTCGATCTGATAGTATTTCTTCTGGTCTGCATCGTGGTTTCAGTGATAGAAGGGCTTTTCGTAAAATTTCCAGGGTATTGATTTCCATTTCTCTTCAACTAACGTCGTGATGGGTTTCCACTTAGAAAGATCTACTTTGAAGAGACTAAAGTCAGAATTTAAAATTGGTCTCGGCTACTGTCAAATACAGCAGAACTAGTAAATATAGTTAAGGTTATTTGTAGCTGTATTGTAGCGAAAATCGTTCCTTCTCCGAAACGCAGCAAAGACAGGTTGCCTAAAAATTAGTTTTGTTTAAGTTCCGCTTCTGTTAATTTGTTTCTTTTATGAATTTTCTACGTTGTCTAGAATGTTTCAGCTCGTTCATCAGATGCATACGTTACCGGCACAGTATGAAAGACTGGCATTATGTAGAATGCCTAGGCATTGTATTGTATAAAATGCCGGACGTTTCTAGGCAAAGTATGAAATATGAGAATTATTACATACTGCCCCTAGGCATTTTATATAATACCTAGGCATTCTATAGAATGACAAATGCTCTATGGAATTAAAGTATTAAAAAAGGTTATGATAAGGTTATTATTTAAAAGACGTTCATTCCTCAAAAATATAAATATTTTTTTAAAAAATTACTGAAAGCGGGCCATTGAAAAACTGTTATTCGAAATATGTAAAAAAATGGTGAGATGATCTTGATACAACATAATAAGTTTGTAATTTCTATCTGGCTGAAACTGGAAATCGCAATTCAAATGGCAATAGAATACTCAATCGATAACAATTCACAAAAAATCAATATTTTCTCAGATAGTCAATCAGCAATACTAGCTCTACAAAATCCCAAACACGCATCTGAAATAATTCAAGATATTTTTAACAAAATTATCCAAATATCCTTAAATATCACGAAAAATTTATTGGATAAAGGCTCACGTCGGACTTCTTAGTTACGAAGAAGCCAAATCAGCTAATACTAACAATAATATCCCTTTAAGAAAACTCTCCTGGCCGAAATCATATCTTAAGAAATATCTACATAAAATCAGACTTCAAATGTGGGAAGAAGAATGGACAACAATAAATAAAGGAAGACAATTACATCAAATAGCACCTTATGTAAATAATACTGTACAATGGTCAATGGTTATATAAACCGCTTTTTAACTGGACATGGTCCATTTCCCACATACTTCTTCAGCATAAACATCCCAAACTCATAGCGATGTGTATGTGGGAATAAAGGTGATCCAGTCATTATATTACTCAATGTCCATTAACAAAGTCAACTCATATTAAATTGCCTAATTCAAATATCAGTGCATTCCTTCGTTTTTCAATTAACATCAAACATTTAAAAAATAAAATAGAAAATACAATCAAATATCTATCTTCAATAGGCAAAGATTTATGTGAGCACTTAACGTAATTAATGTCAAAATTCAATTTGAAGCTGCAATTCATCTAAAATTCTTATTATCTAATTATCTTCAAAACAAATCCTTGCAATAATAATGATATAGTAAAAAAGGGAAAAGAAGAGAAAGAAGGTACGTATTCATATAATAAACTTTATATCAAGGAACTATTATGAACTGTTATAAATTACGACTGTTGGCCTACTATTATTATACCTATTATAACTTCTATAATTATATCTAATAGATATGATATCAATCAAAATGTCAATATACTATTTTAAATAATATTGTACTATTTTAAATACTAACTTTAAAAATAAACCGAAGTGTAGTGGGACTATACCTACATTACTTATAGTAAACATTGGGTGTCCCACTACACTTCCACCTGAACCTGAACCTGAAACTGGAAATCACCAAGATCTACCTGACAACGGAAATTAAATTGGGAAAAAATCATAAGTTTCACATCAATGCCCTGTTCCCTGTTTAATACAATTTTTGTTTTTTTCTGGCAGGGCTCACAAAGGTGGCTGTATACTTCAATATCATTACGTGTAACCTTTTTTGCATTTAGTTGAAAATTCCTTCAACATTCTGTTACGTCGTCCTTGCGCAGAACTCAAATAAGTTTTCATGATATACGGAAAATAACTCAGCGTCCGTCACGTAGTACTGTACGTAGTGACGCTATCCTTAACAGGGTAAACGAATAAATATACTTTTGTTTTTCACAAACATCACATCCTAGGAATTCATCAACCAGTAGTCCTGTAATTCCTTTTTAGTGTAGTCATTTTGGCTTTTTTGCGTCATTTCTAATTTCTGGTAAGTAGTTTCGGAGATGTATTTCATGCTTTGCCGGTTTGTCATTTAGCATTCTATAGAATGCCTAGGAAAAAATGTGTGAAATATGAATCGTTTCATACATTGCCGTCTAGTTTTAGATATGCTACCCAATTCCTAGGCATTCTATAGAATGCCGGATTTCAAACTTTGCCGGTACCATTTTTAAGTGCTTACTCATTGAGTTCGAATAGTAATGTCTTGAGTTCAAACTTGAGTACTTATTTCTTCATTTTTAAGATCACATCATCTAAGCGACAATATAAAGAATTAGCATAAGCGCTGGGATAGTTGTGTCAGTGAGAAGGCATTTGCTTTGAGAACGGCCTCACAAGATATTTTCGGAAAAACGCCAGCTGTCTTATTTCTGAACAAAAAGCTAATTACCCCTTTGAATAAACTATTTTTTCAACAGAAGGCTCTTGAATTTAAAATGGTAGATATTCAAATGTTAGTAAACTATGCCATCCATAATTCGGATATTACAAGAAAAAAAGCAAAAGGGCCTTTCATAATTGAAAGAATTAGGCAGTTAGTAATATATTTAAGGAAGCAAGATGGAGAAGAGATGGCTGCTAGTAATCATTAGTTAAAAAGTATTATGAGCGTGTTCATGCGCCTGTTATAAGATATTTTGCGGGAAACCGATCCTGACCCGATAGTAGTGCCAACAAAGAAATGCATAGAAATTTTGTCTACAACGAAAGTTCATATCACGGGTAAAAAAAACTGGTACTACAAATAATGGAGCGAAGAAAACCGAAGGATTGAAGCAACAAGAGGAAACGAGTTCTAGCAGGAAAAGGGACTAGAATCAAGAACAAGTAAAGTTCCAAAAAAGAAACGTAGAGTATGACGTTACAATAGATCCAGCTAGCTAAACCGATACAGAACCAGTGCCAGCTAAAGGGTCAACAAAAACGATCCAGGTTCCAAGACTATATGTCAGTTTCTAAAAGGCAAACTTTACGTCGGAGACGGAGAACGGAGGATGATTCATCGCGAAAGAAGAAATTGTACAAGAACTAGGATACGGCTAACCAACAGATGGCAGAGTGGCAGACAACAACAGTTCCAACGGGGATCCTGGAAACCAAACCTCGACAGGACAGTTTCACTATGCGAAGACCTGCCAACTGGATGACCGATGACCAATGAAGCAAAAGCGTAAGTGAAATAAAATTTTTTTAAAGTATTCATAATTGGGTTCATATTTGAAAAAGTGTAACAGTTGCTATTAGTCTAAGTTTGCCACAAGAGAGATCTTTTCACTTTTATTATATAGCAAGAAGGTTTTAATTTAATTATATATCTACTGCATTGACTTTACATTTAGTCTAAGAGTAGATATTCTGATTTTAGTACAAAAGAATGATTTTGCAGAATGTTTGGAGACACTATAGAAGAAAAAAGAATTAAAACTTTTCAGATTAATATATTACGTCAAAAGGGGCATTTTTACGTTTCGGGTATTACATTATTAAATATGTTCTTCGCAGTTGAACCATAAAATTCAATTCAACAGAATATCGCAAAATAATTTAAAAATAGCGTATCTGTAGAATTTCCGATACACAGAAGATAAAAATAGAGATAATTTTTTTTTCCCGCACAGTGTTGTCATTACTCACTTCGAAATCGTTGAGTTTTTTAATAAAAGATTCGTTAAAGTTTTACAAAATTTGAAATAGATAACAACACAAATTCGAAATTCAAAATTCGGGCTTCCAAGTGCCCATTTTCGGTTTGAGGACTACGTTATTTAAAATTCGATGACTCTACGTACCGTTGTTTTTTCATAGTGCGAGAAACATTCATGCAGATTCTTCATTATTTATTTTGTTTAAATACAATACGTGGCTATAATATTTGGTGGCAGCAATTTGAAAAGTGAATTAACCAGAAAATAAAATGACGCAAAATGCCGTTTTGAGACTAACAGTCCTTTGGGTCTAATGCCCCTTTGGGCTAAAAATACACCAGTATTAAAAGATAAAATATTACATTTCTTCTGAACCAGCTTCCCGTTGACTAAAGGTTTTGTTAATCCATTCCTGAAACACGGTTTTTCTCCACTTCTTTCTCTTTAGATTGTTATTAAAGAAATTTTCATTATTATACGTCACCTGCAAAAAAAGTAGTATGTATTGAAATTAACTTTAAATTGTAGAGGTAAATCTGCTGGAAAGTTTATTGATATAAATCGATGTACTCACTTTACTGTACATATCCGATAAAAATGTATCATTCAAAAATTGCTTCGGGAAACCAATTCGCAACTTCGTGCCATTAACCTAAAAGATATAAATAAACTAACAGTCTTTATATGAAATATATGCTTTGATGAGTAGTAAAAATCTAATTTGTAACTGCAGAGGCTGTTCTCAAATTTTTAGACGACTCGCTATCTTACCGCTGCTGGACATTTGCTTTTGAAAAATTCGTCTGCTTGGAAATTTTCGTTTTATTTGCAGCTATATTTCTGAACGTGTAAAGTACCATGTGCTACTTGCCAGTTTTGGTTTCATCCAAAATGGCGCTTTTAAAGAAGCAATGGGCGGAAGGTTATGTTTGTGCTCTTTCCGAAGAAATTTATTCATATTTAGTTATTAACCCTTTGTTGCATCATGTCCATTCTAATAGACAAAAGTTTAAATTTGTTTATTCTTCTGTAAACGTCTTAATAAATTCCATTCCTGTGTTGATTCATTCTATAATATTAGAACTTTCAACTGTCGATCCTAGATGGCTGTATAGCATCACCAAGTAAAGCATTGCTATTTGGAAAATGGTTGCTACTTCTGTTTCCAAGTTAGTACAATTTCTCATAGTAAACATTATATAATATTGCTTACATTTTCTTGTACTGCCCTGCTTTATTCATAATTAGCAATTTTAGACATTTTATTTTAAATGTCAGTTTTACTGTGGAGTGGGTAGATAAAGATCTACCGGAAAGAATGAATGGAAACTCAAATGTTCTGCTTATCAAGCAAAACACCAATGGAAATGTTTATGTTTGGAAAGGAATTTCTAGAACATTTGACATTTGAATCCAATAGGTACAGGTTACAAAATCGCAGAAAAATGAATTCAATCACAATCTACGAAATTAAGGAATTTTGGTGGACCTGTATGTACATGTCGGTTGTAAATTTACCATTTAGAAGATGGTAATGATCACTGCAAACAAGGCAGGAAATGGTTTCAAATTCAATGACCGTAAATCGTTGGGAAGAGATTTGTATGCATTTACGTATATGCATGCTGTCCACTGTAGTAACAAACTGTTAAGGAATTTTGGTGGACCTGTATGTACATGTCGGTTGTAAATTTACCATTTAGAAGATGGTAATGATCACTGCAAACAAGGCAGGAAATGGTTTCAAATTCAATGACCGTAAATCGTTGGGAAGAGATTTGTATGCATTTACGTATATGCATGCTGTCCACTGTAGTAACAAACTGTAGCAATTATTTAAAACGAAATTGGAATAAAATTAATTTTTCTATTATTGCTAAGGTTGTTATTTTAAGTAAAAAAATACAAACATTTTCATTTAACTTCTCTAGATTATTTGTACGCAACAAAGGGTTAAAAAATGATATATCATTTTTTAATATCATCACTGCATCACTTATTAATTTCATTTATCAGAACGGTTTGATCATTTTGTTTTTAATAAGAAAGGCTCTCGAATTTAACTCTCAAAATCCTACATAATAAGCTTTTTAAGTTTTACTTACTCGTTAGGCGTACCCCAAAAAATAAAAAAGATAAAAATGAAAGGAAATAGTTAATTGAAAAATTTTGAAAGAGCTTAAGACAGTTTCACTATCTGGTGCAATATATGTATATCTGAGAATCACTGACTTAATGCGCGCAGTTATTGAACTGATGGAAGCACTTTAATGAAAGAAAAAAAAATTACAAGCCAAAAAAGTCTGAAAGGTTTCAGATTTTAAATTGCGTCCAAAGGGGCTTTTTTTTTAAAGTTTTGTGCGTTACCTTTATTTATTAAATATCATGTTCTTTGTAATTAAACCATAAAATTCAGTTCAGTAGCAATGTTACAAAATAATTTTAAAATGAGCATATCTTTAGAATTCCCGATGCACAGTCCCGGGCGTGTAATGGCAGACAGCACATTCAGTTGATCAATGTTAAACCAATTTCGCATACTGCGCATGCCCATAAGAGAATTTGGCTCGATTAACGACTATGACGCAATTTTAAAAGAAGATAACTACGGTATATGATTGCTATTCTGTTATCTGGGCGTGAATAGTTTGGAGTTTTAAAACTTAGGTTAAACCTTTGTTAGGTTGTAAGTTGCTTCATTAATTAGAGTGTAAATATCGATTGTAAACTACGCAAATATTTGTTTAAGAAGGATTACCAAAATAGGAAACATTATAAGATACATTAGTTGAATGTTTGTTGATTATACTTCTGAGGAATAATAGGAACTGAGTATTTACCATTATTCTTTTAAGAAATTAAGAAATAAATCCAGTTTGAATTATTGAATTAAAGTTAAAGAAATTATTATAAATAACTGATATTAAATATAATGTTTATGAACAAAATAAACCAAAATGAAATAAAACAGATTAACCACAAACAAATTTCCTTAGTATTATTGTTGTAAACAGTCGATAAGACCTACATGAAAACGAAGAAACCCTTCCTTGTTTTAACGTTTTCGATTGTCATATCATCATATCACAGAAAGTTGCCTGTCGCCTAGCTATGCACCCCCCCCCCGAAAAAAAAAAAAAAAAAAAAAAAAAAACTAGGAAAGGTTTTAAACATAAAACCATATCTTCCTTTCGCAAACTGCACCCAGTTTCGAAAAATGTTGCTATTTTTCATTATTTTTTTTTTTTTAATTACTAAATTATTTGAAAAATGCAGTTGTATCCAAAGCGAACTTTTAGGCATGAGCCAAAAGTTTAAAGCCTGCATTTCCAAATGACTTGTTATTTGCGAAAAAAGCTAAAAAAACACAATTTTTTGTTAAAAGGCAGTATTTCGTTAACTTCTTATAATTTTACTTTTAGATTTTCAGTAAAAAAAGTTGAATATATTGTTACGAATTTTATACATATACCGATGATTTTTGTGAAATTAAATGTAAAATTGTTGTATTTCCTTTGTATAATGTAACAGGAAAATCTAAAGAACGGAAGATAGCCGGAAAAGTAAGAATAACAGGGGCAAGTGTATTTAACATTGAGCAAATGGCTGTCTTTTTAACGTGGCGAGATATCGTGAAGATGGCGATACCGCTCAACGGTTTTGGCGTCTGATTTTACAATATGGCGACATTTTTGTCCGCTCCCTGTATCATCGTAAGAGGTATTGTAATTAAATAACTGTAATTGATTTAATTTGTAACTGTAATTGTAGCCAGCCCTCATATGAGTCCCAGTAATTTCGGGAAGCAGAAAATACTAGAAATATCTCGGTGGCCGGGTGAAAATTATATGAGGTCGGAGAGAGAATCTGCTGTCAGTTAGTTGTATTGTTGTGAGGTTTTAATTCAGAGAGACTTCGCACTATTGAAATTTCGGAATAAAATTTCATTGTGTTAGTTTGAGAAATATTATCGTAATACCATACGTGCCATGCGCAAAATATAAATGTATATATTTCGTTATTTATAAAATACGCTCTTAGGAAGAATGAAATATTTATTTTCCGATTTAAAATATTATTATGGAAATAGGGCGATATAAAATTACAGTTAAGAAAATCAATCAAAATTTAAGAAATATATTATTAATACTATTATTTTTATTATTACCTTATTAGGCTAAAGGGCGTTAGCCCTTTACCGTTTCGACAGCGCAAGCGATAAAGTCGCCGATAATGGTACAACTGATGCCAAACGGATATATCATCGCTGGTAACATTTTACGCCTCATTTGCAAATAATGTCACAGCCATTTCTGATCATTCAATACTAGCATACAATTACATGGAATTACATGGAATTTTGACCATCTTGTAAAATTTTATGCCCTAAGGCCATTCACGGTAATTAAATGAATCAGAATGCAATCACACCGCTCATCCAAAGGCGAAAATATGGAAAAGGTAAAGTCAAGGGTTTAATTCATCAATTCTAATGAGAATGCGCTAGCGAAGTAAAGCACTGCGGTTTTACATAATTTCTGAGTAAGCTATTCGTACGAATTGAAATAATTCTTGCATTTAAACTTGTATTCCAAATTAAAATTTAACTTAAAATTAATGTAGATAATTACTGAGAGAATTAGATTTTTGTTACGTAGTTTACGCAAGATAAGATCACTTGGGGTCACGTGATGTGAACTGGCGAATCAGTTTGTTGAACCATGAAAGCATAATAAATTCTTAAATTACTGCCTTTTTACAAATTTATTGTATTTATTTATTGGCTTTTTACAAAATTTTAAACGCTATTAAAATGTTTATGCCTTCAAAATAAAAAATTCTTAGAACTAACATTTGTTAACATTTTTTTTTTTTTTTGTGTATACTGTATTTGTCACCAATAAAGTCTGCTTGGAGAGATTTACGTCGGCGACACGGATAAGTACCAAAACTTTAAATGACCATTTCACTTTTCAAATTGTTGTCACGAAATATTATCCACCTGTGTTGTATTTAAGGAAATTAAATAATGAAGAATCTGCATAAATGCATGTATGTTTCTCGCATTGTGATGAAAAGCGGTACCTACAGCTATCAAATTTTGAATAACGTAATCCTGCACCAAATATGGGCATCTAGAAGCCCTAACTTGGAATTTGCTTTATTAACGATTTCATATTTTGTAACACTTTAACGAATTTTTTATTAACAAACTCAGCGATTTTATAACGAGCAGTGGCAACACTATACGGAAAAAAGGAACATTTTTTTATCTCCAGAGCGGGAGTCCGTGTATCGGAAAATCTAAAGATATGCTAATTTTAAAATTATTTTTTGATATTGTTGTTGAACTGAATTTACGGTTTAAGTGCAACGAACATGATATTAAATAAATAAAGGCAACACATAAAACGTTAAAAATGCCCCTTTCGTCGTAATATAAAATCTGAAACCTTTAAGATTTTTTTAAAATTATTATTATTATTATTATTATTATTGGAAAACAAACGTTTCAACTTGGTTTATTGAAAATGTCAAATTTCTAAATTTACTGGAAATAAGTCTATGGAGGTATGAAAAGAAGGGAAATTTGCTTTATTACATTACAAATGCATAAAATAGCAACCCACAACAACTTAGCATATAGAGCTGAGGAAATGATTATTTTGGAACCTCATATTTCCTTATCAGAAACATTTCAACAAAAACATTATGTTACGAAATGTGTAATTTTATACAGCATAATGAAAGTAAAACATATTAGGACCTTCTTCACAGAGTATGTGCTGGATTCCTCATCTATCCAGTCAGTTTCATATATCCTATTTATATATTCCTTTTCCATGTAAGTAGCTATCACTAGAACCTGAAAGAAAAGATAAAAAGTTTTACTCAAACACATTGATTACAGCAAAGTTAACAATAACTGTACAGTAAGAGTAGAATACTCTTCAGATTTTATTTACTTTGTAAAAATGTCGAATAAAATGGTCTTAAATGGGCAAACAAATCTGAAAATAATTCACTTTTAAATTTTAAACTCTTACTTATTTTTCAAATAAAGTTTTAACGCAAATATAAATGCAAAACAACAAGATGTCACTTGAAGCAGGTGGTCACGGTGATAATGAGGATGATGACTACGATTTCATTGATATGTGTGTATGGTGTGTGTGTGTAACAGGTAGCATTTCGTTCTAAACGTATGACCACACTGGTGAGAACTACTAACACGCAATCAGTTCATGGCCATAGGTTCCTAACAACAAAAGAAAAAATAAATAAATAAAAATAAAAAAATCTGAAAGCTTTCAGATTTTATATTATGCCTAAAGGGGCGTTTTATTAGCGTTTTGTGTGTTACCTTTACTTATACAATATCATGTTCTTCGCACTTAAACTATAAAATTCAATTCAATAGCAATAGCGCAAAACTACTTATATAAACAGCATAGCTTTAGAATTTCTGGTACAGAGTCTCGCGCGCCTCGCTTTGAAATCTTCGAGATTCTTAATCAAAAACTCATAAAAGCTTTACAAAATGTGAAATAGATAATAAAACAAATTCGAGATTCCAAATTTGGGCTTCCAGATGCCCATATTCGAGTGCGGGACTACGTTACTCAAAATTGGATGTCTCTAGGTGCCGTTGTTTTTCCGCAGTGCGAGAAACATATATACATTCATTATTTAATTTCTTTAAATATAATACTGGCTCTAATATTTGGTGGTAACAATTTGAAAAGTTTATAGTGAACCAATGCAAAATGCCAAAACGAAATTAATACCCTTTCTGGGCTAACTCCCTTTGGAACTAGAAAACTAAATTTAAATATTAGGGAATAGTGGGTATGTATTATAGCTGCTCAAGGATGCAAGGAGTAATACGCATAGTATAGTTACTCCGATCAGATTATAGCAAAAATGAAATGTCGTCATTTAGAAAATGATATTATGTTCAGATTGCAAAATGTAAAGTTTTTCCTCTCCCCATCTCCGGGTTTTGGAGGACGTAAATAACAAATTTTGAATCGAAAACCTCTGGGAAGAAGAAAGCGGTAAAAGTAGGAGGCAGACTGAGAGAAAATCAAATTCGGTATTAAAAATTGTCATATTTCGGGCTTAGAGTTCATGATCAGGTTAAAATGTCGTATTAGGTCAGAAATAGTTTTAAAGGTTTATATAAATTTCAATGAATAAATTGCAAAATTAATTTTGAATAGCTGCCGGTATCCTACTATTTCTGACAGTTAATCTAAATTCGCTTGCTGGAGCAAACGATCGGGGCCTGATAGAAGAGACACATTTTGAATTTCTTTTAATTTTATGTTTATCAATTCCAAACGTAACCTCCGAATATTGTTTTAAAATATCATAACTGCCTGGAAAAGGAGGAAAATAGTTTGTAGTCTTAGGATATTGAAATTCCTCATACATTATTAATCAAGAGGTTTGAAATTACCTGCTTTAAGATTGTAGTTATATCTAATTTTGTTGAGATTATGATAATTATCGGATCTTTAATTGGATTGTATCCTAATCCATATGATTCTTACATAACGCTAAAGACACAGATACTTGCATAATGCTTCAGCCAGTTACAATATTCAAATAGGCGAATTGAAATTTAAACTGTCAAATTAACCTTTAAATGCATGCATTTTTATTTTTGAAGTCAAAAATAAGTTAAAATTGATATCAAACAAAATAGGAAAAATACTAAAAAACTTTAAAATAAGTTTTCATTCCAACTTTTGCAAAAATATTAACTCTGACAAAAAATACATGCAAATGTGTAATAACAATTTTATGTAATAATACATACTGTTGCGTGCGTACGGGTTCGCATTAAATTGAATGCCCAAGTCCGATGAAATGTGAATAAAACTTATTCTTATCACAACAAATAAAAACAAAATGCTTAAATTTCCTTACAGATATTCGTACAATATACCAATATCTTACATTAGTTATATTTTAAACTACTAAAACGTTTAACAGAACTTAATTCAAACCAGCGAAAGCTAATCTGATTTCACAGCGAACTCGCTATAGTAAACAAAATCAGTTTTCTAAACAGCTCATAAAACAACTGAACTAAGATGTTTTCCTACAGCCTTTTATAAGCTTTTTAAATGCACGAGAAGTTCTCAATTTTTCTGGATATTAAAAGAGTACAATTACGAGATATCTATTATTAAGAATATGAGATTCGCGTTCTCCTGTATTTAATTTTTCCGGGGTAGCTTACTCTTCAAATAAGTCTCATGCCGCATTGCACGGGGATATAAAACAATTTTAAATACAAATTCTACTAAACATAGCTAAACTAAATAAATACAGAAACCGTAATATCTTTATAAATTTGCTGAATCAATTTTAAAGCTTTGGATACATTAAAATAAACATCATCAAAATAACATAATATACATCAAAATAACAAAAAACACCAAATCAAAAATTCGTAAAATGCAAATGATGTCCACACCCTACATATCGACTCATAATAATTACACCGTTAATAGTGCCACCACACAAACTTTCAAAATTAAATTGTAAACAGTAGGTATCCAGTTATTTACATTGCGCAGTAAGCTAAAATTCGTGTTTTGATTTGATTTCCACGACTAAATACACTGACTACTAATAAGTATTTGGACACCTATGCAAATGACGATATCTGCGGTCCTAAGGTACGTCACGGACTCCGCCGGTGTATATCGTATAGGAAACAGCATCGGCTTTAGTCGCATGCAAGATGCCTCGCAGTTCGGAGCTCTCTGATTTCGAGAAAGGTATAATTATCGGGTATCACAAATGTGGCCGATCCTTAAGGGACATATCTAGAGATCAGAAGTACCCAAAATCGACAGTGGTCTATGTGATTAAGAAGGGGACGGTGAGCGGTGATTGTCGGAATATGCCCCGAGTCGGCAGACCAGCGGAACTGGGAGACAGAGACCGACGAGTGCTGTCCAGAGAAATTCGGAAGAACCGCACCCAACCGATGGCCCTCATCCGCGAGGAGCTTCAACAGGCATCCGGGAGTATTGTTTCAACGAATACCATCCGTAAGGAAGCACATCTGCTTGGTTTTCATGGTCGTGCTGCTGCCCATAAGCCTTTGATCACAAAGTCCAACCGCGCTGCTCGGTTACTGGGGTGCAAAGCACATCGAAATTGGAGCGTAGATCAGTGGAAACGGGTTCTTTGGAGTAACGAATCAAGGTTCAGCCTTTACCGTTCGGATGGCAGGGTCTGGGTCTGGCGTCTACCTGGAGAACGTCTCTTGCCAGAATGCATTGTACCAACAGTCAAGACGGAGGTGGAATTCCGGTCTGGGGGTGTTTCTCCTGGTATGGGCTGGGACCCTTGGTCTCCATTCATGGTAAGCTCAACTCCGATGCCTACTGCACTATTTTGGATGGCAATGTGCTTCCTACGCTGTGGCAGTTTTACGGGTTGGACCCCTGTTACTTTCAGGACGACAATGCCAGTTGTCATGTTTCGACGTTAACCAAGGCTTCATATGGTGCCAATGGAGTTCATCGAATAGACTGGCTTGCCCAGAGTCCAGACCTGAACTCTATCGAGAACCTCTGGGACGAGTTGCATCGCCGAATTCAGGGGTGCACTACCCGTGCAAAATCGGTGAAGGAACTTCTATGTCTTCTTCAAGCCGAGTGGAAGAAAATACCACTAGCTGTCATACAAAGACTTGTGGAAAGTATGCCCCGGAGGGTCCACGCTGTAATTACCTCTCGTGGAGGCTCTAGCAACTATTGATTTTGAATAAAGTCAGTTTTTCTTTTCTATCACAGGTGTCCAAATACTTATTGGTAGTAGTGTATGAGTATGTTGGTATGTAGTCAGTGTGCATTAACGACTTTCGAGCTTTAGCGGTAACGTAAGATATAAAACCTGATTCTTATAGCAGACAATTTACGTTTGAATTTGTATTAGAAAAGCGAAGAAAGCATTTTTGAAGTTAAATATATTTTTCACTGAGTCGGTCCAACTTTTTGTATCACCGTCTAGCGGCTGAGCTAAAACTGGTACTTTGGTTCGTTATTCTGTTGAAAAGTCTCTGTATATGGTCAGATTTCGTGGTTGTCTTTATGTGTAATGTGAGATTGAGCGAGTTTCGGCCAGCAGCGGCCGAACGATAAAGTCGATGAACACTGGTAGTTCAGTCCGTGGTTCGAATCGCGCGAACGGGCTGGCTGCATGGGCTAGAAAGTCATCCACAAAGGCGTCCCTTCCTTTACACTGATAGCTCGTAAGGCTTTGCTATATAACATATATCAAACCTAGGTGCAAAGTGAGCCAGTTTCTTTAGAAAGGCCTCAATGAAGGCATCCCTCCACATAACACACATAGACCTCGTGAGTGACCTAGTTAATTTTTGGATTACGCTATGGCACGCTGTATCATGATATCATTGTCGTTTCGATTATTATACAAATTAAAATTATTGCATGTTATCATGCAATAATGATACACAAGTTAAAATTATTGCAAGTTAATTATTGCATGTTAAAGACGTCACATGATATTATACAAGTTAAAATCATTACAAGTTAATTTATTGTTAACTATTACATGTTGAAATCATACAAATTTGAGGATTATGTAAGCACTTTTAAATTACACAGGTACATTACTAATGAGTGTAAAAACTGAAACATTGAAAAATATGCATAGCTGTTACGATTTTTTTTAAATCTTTAACATTTTTTCTAATGATGTATCTATCTAATTCTTATAATTTTAATGTCTAAATTTCAGTTGATAGGAAAATGGGCTCTTAGTTATAATTAATCTAACGCCAGTCGACAGTAGAACAGGCTTTACGGAGCCGACTAA